AAAAAAAACATTGACTTGTGACCTAGTCCTGTTTGGCGATATAGAAGTTTGATAAGATCTTTGTTAAAGGCTCTATTTTAAGTATTTTATTGTGTGATAATCAGGGAGTGCGTTGTTGCATGCTAGCTGTTGTTCGCTTTACCGTGAAAGCACAACTCTGCTCTGGTCACTGAAAGTTGTGAAAAGCACTTTGAAAGTTGCACTGTGTAACTTCTCTGCTGGAGGGTTGGTCGCCCTCTGGTCTTATGGAGATGTGCCTAAAATGTTCCACAGTATGGCCATAAACTTACAAATCTCCATGGAGACTTGTAAGCCAAATTACAGGTAAGATCTGTGGAGAGGCGACCCCTTTTACTGTAAGAATGGATGTTTTAAAGATGTTTTTCAGCAATAAACACCTGTAGTTGAAAAAATGCAGATTAGTTTAATACCATACCGTGGACATTTAAAGACAAAGCATTAATTAACATCTCCATGGAGACAAAACAGGCTGCGGACCCCCTTCAGAAAAGTTACACAGTGTAGCTTTAAACTCATCATGGTGAATATTAGGATGAACTTTCAACCACTGCAATCTAATTCAGTTATTTTAAGTTTTTAAGACAAAATCAGGTGCAGTGCCTTTAAGTTATTCTTTATTTTACGCAGCTCTTCTCCTCTTCCTCACCTCCTCTTCCACTTTTCCTTTCCTCACTTACTGACAAAGTGACAAGCGGTTTTATTCAATTACAGTGAACTTAACTCTCCGAAGCAGCTGATGTCTTTAGTTGCATCTTGATGGTAGATACAAAGACACTACATGAATCGTGATGTAAATGAAGCCATGATCTAGGCTTTATAAAACTGCAATATGATTTTTATAACACATTGTCTGCTCCTAATTAAGTTACTTTTTAAAAATAACCCACTATCTTTTCATTTGACTACTTCTTGCTAAGCAGACTATGCACAGGGAATTATATCCATTACCTTATTTACCTATTACTTTGGGAAATACACTTATTTTTGATCTTTTGTTTATGTATTATAACATGGAAATGCATTCTTGAACTTGATTTTTCTCATTAACTTAAATTACAGATGTCTTTGACCCTTTATTTGACCTTCCTGTGAGTGGTCATAATCTTCTGGTTGATCATTGCAATTTATTAAAAGAGTTACCCCCCAGACAGCATTTTGGATACATTGAATAGAGCTATATTACTGTAATTTCTAGACATTTAAGCTCCCCTATACTCCTCTACACTTATGTTGTAGACCTATAATGAACTTGTATGTTTCCTCACAAATGCCTTCAGAAATGTGTCTCAAAAGCCTGTCAAGTCTCTCTCAAGTGTAAATTAGCAGGTGTTAGCAACAAAAAAGCGACTTCACACATTTTCATAGAGAGGTAAATTGAAACATCGTCCTCTAATTACTCCCCCAGTAGTGCTCTAAACCACTGCCCCCGGTAACCACGGCAACGGCAGCTGCGGCGAACAGGTCCCTACCGAAGTGCGGTTTATATTTAGAGTGGAGTCGACAGGATGACCTACAGCGTGGTGTGAAGGAGCCAGAGCCAGAGTTATAAATAATTTCTTAATTTGTTATTGGTTAATAGAAAAGAAAAAAAATGCTGGGATTTGATTAAAGAAAGCTTAATTTGACAACAGCAATCTGAGTGAAATATTTTTCTATTACTGGTGTAGATTACTCCTCCAGTTAACAAGAGAATAATAAGAGCAAGTACAAATACTGATGGAGGGTCCGTCAAATGCTTTTCTCCATGGAGATGTTATTAAACTTCATCTGGAACATTCCACAGTACGGTATTAAACCTTTCTATCTTCATGTAGACCAAACCAGACCAGTTTACAGGTCAGATCTGTGGAGAGGCGACCCCATTCACAGTCAGAAACTGGCTGTGACTGAATAAATGTAAGATCTGTTTAATGTTATACTGTGGAACATTCCAGGCAGAGCAATGACATATCCATAGAAACAAGCAGAGGTGGGACCAAGTCTTTGTTTTGCAAGTCTCAAGTCTTTGACCTCAAGTCAAGTCGCAAGTCAAATACAGGCAAGTCCAAGTCGAGTCACGAGTCACTGGTCACCATAAGTCCAAGTCAATCCAAGTCCAACTTCAAGTCATTTCAAGTCTTGAAACCAAAGTTCCAAATATAGCTTAGATTTTTACAATTTATATGAATGTTAAGATAAATTGTACTTTAATAAAATCATAGTATATTTGTATATGAATATTTATAGAGTATATAAGAGTTGTAAAATTAAATTGATTTAATTTTTCCTTCTTAAACGTCTTGACAAGATCTTATTGTGAATCATTATAGAAATAGAATAGAAAGAAAGAATTCAGATTCAAAAGTACTTCTCAAGTCTTCTCATGTCACAGGCCTCAAGTACAAGTTGAGTCCCAAGTCTTAGGCCATTTTATCAAGTCAAGTCTCAAGTCCTAAAAACAGTGACACAAGTGTGACTCAATTCCAAGTCCCAACTTGCAAGTCCCCAACTCTAGAAACAAGCAGGTAACAGAGCCCCAACCAAAACGTTATACTGTGTTCTCTTCACTCCAATTGCATGCTTCATACTGCAGTCTAAACTCCAAGACAAAAGAACGTAACAATGTAAAACCATAAAACCATAAAACATACTGAATGTCTCTCCCTAATCTTCACTCCTTTTACATGCAGTGCACTGCTGTCTAACTGAAACATGTGTGAATATTGGACATGGATACAATACAGATATAATGAAGCTGGAGAGATTAGTCAATAGATTTGGAGCATATAACTCCAGTCACAGAGGAACAATTAAAAAATAAAAATTAAAAATGCTGGATGTCTCTCCTACTCTCCACTTCCTTTTGCATGCTGTGCACTGCTCTCTAAGAAACTCCACTGACAAAACAAACGTGTGATACAGTGTGAATACTGGACCTGAATACAATACAGATATAATGAAGCAGCCGAGATGAATCATTTTAGAGCATTTAACTCCAGTCATAGAGGAACAATAAAAAGAGCTGAATGTCTCTCCATACTCTTCATTCCCTTTACATGCTGTGTACTGCTGTCTAAGAAATTCCACTGACAAATCAAAACATGTGTGAATATTGGACCTGAATATAATGCAGACATAATGAAGCTGGTGAGATTAGTCAATAGCTTTAGAACATATAACTCCAGTCACAGAGGAGCAATAAAAAGTGATGAATGTCTCTCCCTACTCTTGCACTTCTTTACATACTGCTGTCTAACAAACACCACTGAGGAAAGAAAAAAACATGTGTGAATATTGGACCTGGAAACAATGCCGACATAATGAAGCAGGGAAATTTTGTGTATAACTCCAGTCACTGATGAAAAATAAAAAGTGCTAAATGTCTCTCCCTACTCTTCACTCCCTTTACATGCGGTGTACTGCTGTCTAACTGAAACATGTGTGAATATTGGACCTGGATACAATACAGATATAATGAAGCTGGCAAAATTAGTCAATAGCTTTAAAGCATATAACTCCAGTCACAGAGGAACAATGAATATTCACGACCGCCCTGCGCAGTGGGTCTCCTGTGTACTGGAGATGCTCGCACAGTAAAGTCAGTGGCGGTAAACAATTTGCAGGCGTCATGTGAAAAGCTGAGGGGAAGTGGGGAAGTGGTCCGGGGGGAGGCTGCGGAGATGATTAGCCTGTGGGCCCGAGCAGGACTATACAGTGGTACAACAGTGAGGAATACAGCCCCCAGTGCACTGTGCAGTGAGGGGAAAAGCATGAGTCAGCAGAAATAACCCTCCTGATGGCAAATACACACACACACACGTACAGGAACACACACACACACATAGACACACATACACACACACACACACGGACTTGGAGCCGCAGGCTGATGAGACAGACAGACTGCAGGCTCAGCTGTCTGTGCACTGCTTTATGTGCACTCGCACCAACAAAGAAAAGAGCTACACTACATACAGTCATTATTAAGCAACCTATTTTATCATATACAGTCAATGAAGTGAATGTTGATATGTTTGGTGCTTTTCTAAGATGGAGTGTTAGACAATGTTGAAATCCATGTAAAAATGTTTGAGTAGAAGATGGTTTATGTGGTTGTGCAGTATTGGTTTTGGTGCACTTTCAAATTGTGAATTGTCAGATTTTTTTGAGTTATATGATTAAAATGAAATGTAAATTTGATAATTGTCCCTATTATTTAAATTTTCTGAAAGATCAAGATATCAGATAATAAGCTGAACAGCAAAAGACTAAGCTTGGATGAGTGTAGTGTGTTCATTTTTACATGATTATTAAATGTAATTTTAGATGCACTAAGCGGGTAGCACTTAAAATGTTATTGTACATGTGAAATGACATCAGAGCTTATTATATTGTAAACTGGTTAGTGGTTTTATGGGCACTAAATGCCCTTGGCGGTACATAACAAATAATAACTATCTAATGTAGAATGAGTAGTAAAGTATATAGAGTGTATAGATGGTAAACTCAAGTCTAAACCATACAATTCAAAATGTATTTTTCACGCTAAATGGTCACATTTTTATATCTTTTTAAAAGCGCTTTTACATCAAGGAAACACTCAACCATTCACAAACACATTCATACACTAATGAACATTGAAGCAAAGTGTCTTGCCCAAGGACATAATAGCATTTCACTTGTGGGATTTGGATTCACACTGTGAACCTGTGGGTCAGTGGCTCTGACCGCTCAACCACTTATGTTTTTTATGTCCAGAGCGGGATTCAAACCACTAACCTTTGATCAGTGGACAAACACTCCACATACCAACAGAGCTATTTATCTTGTCATGTAGTATTATCTCTACTACTACTATTACTTTGGATGCTACTCCTACTTGCTACTTCTACTACTTCTACAACAACACCTACTACTACTACAGACAGTATGGAGTTGTAAAATAACTAGATGTCTGCAAAACGGCATCCCTAATGCATACCATTTGTGTTTGTTTGCAGGGTGCTGTGGAGTGATGTCGGGGGGAGAGGACCGGGATGGCGAGGCGGTGGCGCCCGTGTACGTGTACGAGTCCAAGGTGCACTGTGCTAACGTGCTGCTGAGCCTGGAGGAGCAGAGGAGGCAGGGCGTGCTGTGTGATGTGACCGTGCTGGTGGAGGGGAGAGAGGTGCGCGCTCACAGGGCTGTACTCGCTGCCAGCAGCAGGTACTTCCTCCAGGCGCTACTGCACAACGGGACCCCGGGCGAGAGCGAGCTGGTCATCACCCTGCCAGATAAGGTAAAATGAAAGTGAAAGTAAAAGTGTTCTTTAAAGGTGCATTGTGTAACTTTTCTTTATTCAGTTATCCTAGAAAAACAGGCATTCTGACTGTGAGCGGGGTTATCTCTCCATAGATCTGACCTGTAACTTGGTGTGGTTTGTGGTTTCTCCATGAAGATAGAAAGGTTTAATACCATACTGTGAAACATTTCTGACAAAGCACTAACATCTCCGTGGAGACAAACATTTGATGAACCCTCCACCAGAAAAGTTACACAACTCAGAAAAATCAAATAAGAGTAGAGTTATCAGCCTGTCAGTCAATACATGCAACTATTGATAATTTACAATGACAACATGCTGGGAGCTTCTGCATGTGTGTCTATAGCAATACTTTCAGCATTTATTATGGTGACATAATGCACTTTAGCAAACACAGTCTGATTTGTTCTTGAGGTTTAAAATTGTTGGAAAACTCAAGAACTAATACAAAAGTCAAGCAAAGACATTCAAGCAAAGCATTCAGGGTCCTACTTAGTTGTTTCATCTTCAGCAAAAAACGTGCGAGTGACAAAAATATGTTTTTGAGAGGGACTTGTTAAACAGTTTGGTCACATTGTGTTAAAACAAACGTCTTTCTTAAGTGAGAGAGGTTCAAACAGAGCAGTGCCTACAGATAGCAGAGAGGTGATCCAACGTACAAAAGATTTCAGAGGTAGTTATCCGGACACATAATAAAATGCTGCCTATAACAAGAAATTGAAATCCATGAATACACAACAGTTAACTGCAGTAACTGACACTGACATTACCTTATAGTCCATACAATTGGCTGTTAGCTTCATTTTGCTGAGTAATACTTCTCTCTAATGCTGACTAATGGTCCTTACCCACAATGCCTTTCACACCCTGGGCACTGGTCCCATTGTCGATATCTGTTCAGTTTGTTCAGACGTTATTGTGGCGCTTTGGGTGAATAGTGGTGTAATTTACCTTGATGTAAGAGGCTCTGCAGCTTAGACTGATCAATACATTATGTACATAGTCTGAAAACACTCATGGCCTGTAACACACAACACATAATATGGAACAATATGGAAATACTGCTGATCTTTTCTGTTCTGTGGCAAATTCTGTGAATGTATGGTACAGGTTGAAGGATTATATGATTTGCCAGGGAGGTTAGGCTATATTACACTAAATAGATTCCTATGAGCTTTAAGCTATGTTATAATGCTGTTACCTCCTCAAAAACATACCTTGAATTGTGTTTTATTTTATTCAGGAATGTCTGAATAACCCTTTATTATTAGTCTGTCTACATCAGGAGTGTCAAACTCAAATTCAAAGAGGGCTGCAATTAAAAACTGAGAAGTCGTGGACCAAACTAAATGTTTGCTGAAAAATTTCAATGACATCTGCATGTTTTCTTTTCTTTTGAGATATGTAATGTTAAACTTTTTGTTATTAAAATAAATGTTTAATAATACTTTTGCTTAAACACTGAATTCAGAACAAGCATAACATAAACTCATAACAACATTTAAAATAAATAATGTCTCTATAGTCTATCTGTTGCTGATGGGCCAGCTCTAATACAAGTTAACAGTCAACAGCTTTTACCTTTAGTTAGTAAAGATTGACAGTTCTAGGGTTAACATCATCCAAATGAGGTGTGTGGAGTGTAAAAACACAGTGGAGCACATCCTGTAGTAGGCACAGCAGTAGGCACATTTTGCTTTGCTTTTTAAATTTAAAGGTCTACTGTGAAACTTTTCTGGTTACAACACCTGCTCCATATGTTATTGCTTTTCCTGTATATTCCACAGTATGGCCTCTCCACAGACCTGACCTTTGACCTGCTTGTACCGATAGATACTTCAATGTCATTCTGTGGAATAGTTTAGGCAAGGCAATAATGTCCCCACTGAGACAAGCAGGTGTCTTACTTTCCACCAGAAAAGTTACACATTGCACCTTTAAACCTGCCCTAAAGAATACTTATTTTGAATCTGGGCTCAGGAACTATATTTTACGAGAGATTTACTTCCTCTTTTGAACGCTTAACACTGAATTGCATCATTTTCATTGGAAACCGCCGCACGTTTTAACCTCCTCCGGACAGGCAGGTCAGGGGAAGGGCGCGGAGAGGAAGGGGCCTGCGTGACACAAATTGATATGTTTATGAGGGGGTGTCTCTGTGAATATTAATGCATTTGGCCTGCATTCTCAAACCTCCCTTTCTCTCCCTTGCACCGGTGCGGGCGATCGGGGAACTGCATCTCCTCCCAGCGGTGGCCATTACCATAAAGTGGCCTAGTTCTGTCATATTGATTAATATGTCTGTGCAGTTCCACCTTATACAGTAATCAGTCACATGGCTCAACGCTTAACCAATCAAAGCCCATCCCATATAATGACTCTAAATGTAGTTTTATTTTCAGACTGGCCCTGCACTTACCCTCTCCTCAATTACAAAGAGCTATTTACAGGAATCACCAACACACTCTAATCAATTGCAATAACAGATAACATTATATACTTTACATAGCATTCTACATCACTCACTGTGGCACCGACTCCCCTGCTGATGCGAAAAATGAGTTGGTAATGATACTAGTAGTTGGTGCAGTAGTTGTAATATTATAAGTTATTTTTGTAGTAATAACAGCTGTAGTAGTAGCAGCTGTTGTAGTTGTGGCACCAAACTAAATAGTACTCATTAATATTGATAGCAGCAGTATTCATAATCTTACTAGTAACAACAGCAGTAGTAGTAGCAGTAGCAGTAGTAGCAGTAGTAGGGGTTGTACTTGTAGAAGTAGTTATAGTACTAGAAGTAGTAGAAGTAGCTGCAGCAATGGCACCAAACAAAGTAGTACAAATTAATAGTGATAGTAGCAGTATTCATAATCTTACTAGTAACAACATTAGTAGTAGTAGTAGTAGGACTAGTTGTATTAGTTGTAGTAGTAGTAGTAGTAGTAGTAGTGGTTGTAAAAGAACTAATAGTAGTAGTAGAAACAGCACCAAATGAAGTAGTTAAAATTAATATTGATAGTAGCAGTATTCATAATCTTACTGTTATAATAATAGTAGTAGTAGCAGTAGTAGCTGTTGTAGTTGTAGAAGTAGTTATAGTAATAGTAGTAGTAGCTGCAGCAATGGCACCAAACAAAATAGTACTAATTAATAGTGATAGTAGCACTACTCATAATCTTACTAGTAACAAGACTAGTAGTAGTAGTAGTAGTAGTAGTAGTAGTAGTAGTAGTAGAAGTACTTTAGTAGTAGTAGAAACAGAACCAAACAAAATAGTACAAATTAATATTGTGATAGTGGCAGTATTCATAATCTTACTGGTATAATAGTAGTAGCAGTAGTAGCAGTAGTAGTTGTTGTAGTTGAAGAACTAGTTATAGTAGCAGTATTCATAATCTTACTAGTAACAGTAGTAGTAGTAGTAGTAGTAGTAGTAGTAGTAGTAGTAGTAGTAGTAGTAGTAGTAGTAGTGGTTGTAAGAAGAACTAATAGTAGTAGTAGAAACAGCACCAAATGAAGTAGTTTAAATTAATATTGATAGTAGCAGTATTCATAATCTTACTGGTATAATCGTAGTAGTTACAGGAGGTATAGTAGTTGCTGCAACAATGGCACCAAAAATTGTACTCCTTAATATTGATATAGTAGGAGAATTCATAATCTAAGTAAAGAGAGAGAGCAGTAGTAGTAATTTGTTTAGGAGTACTTCATTCCAGTTCTTCCTCTTTTAAAAACATCGTAACGTAAGTGCTTGATTTGAATAATAATTAAATGAAAAGCCAAATCCTGTTAAGTGAGTAAATTACTGCCTTTTATAACAGCAGCAGTGGGTATGCCAGTGGATATTTTTGCCTGTAAAAGGTCTGAGTTAGTCCTTAATATAATAATAAACACATTTAATACAAACCGTACATACAAGGTGAATAAGGTAAGAAGAAAGGGTTAGTGCACTACTCAGACTGGTGGTGGTCAGTGAGGTGTAAAGGAGACACAGTTTATGAGCTGTTCTGACTCAGGGGAACTTAACCAGGGCTTAAAGGATAATGCTGCGGTCTGTGGAGCTCAACAGTGACCGTCTGCTCTGGTCTCGGACGTAAAATTTCCATTCATTTCCATTCATAAACACATACAATACATTATTTAATACAGACAGTGTTTGGGAAGAATACTTTGAAAATGTATTTAGTTACAGAACACTACCTGCATTAAAATGTATTTTGTAACATATTCCGATACATGGATAGTGTACTCTGAATACTGAGAATACTTTTACATTGAGTTGCATTTCAATTACAGTGTGAGAATGCTCTGTATTTGTTCGTCTGCTTTTAAAACATTTTCTATCACTAATTAGAGAAGGAGAAATTTCAGATGCCCGTACCACAAGAACAGAGTCTGTTTTTCTCATTAGTTCAGTGCAGTTTGAAGCCAAAATTACATGATGAAATACCAGCATGTATTCCTTTGTTTTTTGAAAAAGTAACTGTATTCTGAATTGCATCAAATGAAAAAGTAACTGTACTGGAATATAGTTACTCAAAATTAGTATTCAGGTTATGTATTCTCGGTTCACAATACTTTGATTCTGTCATAATTCAACTAATTAAGATTTCAAAGTGCTAAATAACAGCTATTTTTCATGTAGTCTGCACAGAAACAGAGCAAAGGATCATGGTCTATGTAGTTCCCTCTGTTTTTTAGCTCATGCTGCACCATAACAAAGAATTTAAGCAAAGAAACAGGTAATTTCGATATATTGTGATGGCCTATGATATTATTGTGAGATTTTTGATGATATATTTCACTGCATTTCAGTTATTGTTACATGCTTAATATAGACTACACAGTGTTTGAGAGTTATTTTGTTTGCTGTTAGCATAGCCTAGCATTCACATCAGTTTGCAGTGACTCATATCTCACCCTTACCCGTGTCCATTTTGTGATGAAGGTGGACTGACTCGTCTCCGGTGCCACTGTGAATATTTCTGTGCAGGAGGGAGCAGATGCTGATGCCAGCTGAAAACAGGCTTAGTCCTCTGCTCCCATAGACAGACAGTCAGACACACACACACACACACACACACACAGGCTTTCATGCACACACAGCACTCTGCACCACACACCTACACACAAACACACACATGTACACTGCATGCTGACGGTAAGATGAAGCAGGGGAACGTGGGGAAGGGGTGAGCTAGCCAGGAAGATGAAAAAAATAAGCAAGCAGCAGAAATAACTTTGAAGAAAGCAGATTTATTGCTTGTGAAGTCAATCTTTAACTTGCTGAGCGGCGCTTTTAAACATGATCCAGTATGTGATATGCAACAAAAACTTATAATGTCAAACAGCAGTAACTAATCTCTTTCCCAGGAATATACAGATTGCTCAATAAGTTTGTCGATATTTCATGATGTTTTTGCCGTTTGGTCTTGGAGCGTGTATGAGTAAGAAGTCTTCAAATGAACAGTAGTCAGCGAAATCAGATCAAAGCTAATTGATTGGGAGTGTGGAAGAAGCCCTCTGGTTTAACAGGCGTCGTCTTAGAGCGATCATGATGAGAGTAAATACAGAGAAAATCAAAGCTGACAGAGCCTCACCAGGGACAGAAGTTGTGTTTGTGTGAGTGTGCGTTCTGTTGTAGCTGCAGAGGGCAGAGGATGTGGGTATGTAGGAGCAGAATAGAGGCCTTGATTTTGTCAGATTTTCTCAAGGCAGCTGGTCTCAGAAGTCATCTCCACATCTGCAAATGAGTTTTTATTGTATCATAATCATTTTGTTTGTTTGGTTGGTTGTTTATTTATTTATTTTATTTTATTTTTTTGTCAAAAAACAACAAAATTACTCTTTAGATTTCGTAGCCATTCTTCTTCCATTAATTTACATTAGGGTACGTTCATACTTGCACAAAAAACACATTAAATTTGAGGCTAAACTGGGACTAAACCAAGGATCAAAATCTGGACTAGAACAGGACTAAATCAGGATTTACAGGACCAAACCAAACCTTTGAAAAGATTACTTTTAAGGCTGCATTCACACTTATATACCACATAGACCACATAAAAACTGGGACTAAACTGGGACTAAACCTGGACTAGATCAGGACTAAACCAATATTAAAGCAGGACCAAACCAAATCTACATTATAACTTAAACTGGGCCCAAATCAGGAATGTGCCCTAAATGTAATTAACAACAAGAACAAGCCTGAAAAAGCAGTTTTATAAATACTTATAAATGATTAGCCATTAACACATACCTCCCTCTTGTGTTTTTCAGGTCACAGCTAAGGGCTTCGCTCCGCTGCTCCAGTTTGCCTACACTGCCAAGCTCGTCTTAAGCCGTGAGAACATCCATGAGGTGATCCTGTGTGCGGACTTCCTCGGTGTTCATAACCTGGAGGACTCCTGTTTCCGCTTCCTCCAGGCCCAGCTGCAAAACGACAGCCAGCACGCCATCAACGGAAAGGCGGAATCAGACGATGACGTAATGACCGAAGAGTTCAACGAGGCTCTCCCACTGGGCGACACTACAACGGACCACAGGCAGCAGACCAATCATGTAGCACCCACTGCGCCACAGCCCAAGTACAGCCCCAAATACAGGAAGTACCAGTACCCAATCATCGACAACAAGCACAATGGCGAGAAACATCATGACGAGATTGTTTTGCCGAATCGTACCTCAGCTAGCCCGCTCAACTCCCACTACCAGGATCCTTCGCAACCTCTCCTGACGCCATCGCGGATCAAGGAAGAACCATATTCGTTTGAGGAAGCCAGAGAAAACAGGAATGGTTACAATCCCGAGTTGTGCACGGAGGAGGTGTTGGAGATGGAGTTGGAAGTGGAAGGGGTACCAGTAGCAGCAGAACACTCGCCTAGCCAGGGCTCGCCCTCCTCCTGTTTACGTTCCTACCTCCAAAGGGGCGGCTTGGACCTGAGCGCAGTGCCCAGTACGACCATCCAACAACTCCTCACCAACAGACTGTCTCTCAACCATTACAGGGATCTCGTGAAGGACCGCGCCAGGGACAAGAACATGGACAGATCGAAGGCATCATCGTCGAAACATGAGGGCGAGGTAGACAGGCGAAGTAGTGTGATTTTCTCATCGGCGGCTGGGGAGAGACACATGGGTCCTTCATACATTGAAGACACGTTTCGAGAAAAAGTATCAGCGTTGATGCAGGTGGAGTCGCCTTCAAGCGGGCGGTCATGTCTCACCACAAGTTGCCCCATCAAACCAGCAGCCCACTCGCCTTCTCCATCAGAGCCCCAAACACAAACCTCCAGCTCCAGATCTTCATTCTCCTTCCCGGACGATGGTGGGATCGGGGTTTCGCCATCCAGCATGCCCCAGTTCGACTACTCCTCGTCCCCGCGCTCAGGTTCTATCTCGGGGCTCTCCCACTGCCTGGCCGGCCTGGTGGAGCAGAGAACCCCTCAGGACTGCTCCAAAATCAAGACTGAACAGGGCTTTGGTACCAGCGGAATGAACTCCAGTGATGAGTCTGGGTCTTTCTCAGAGGGGGACAGCGAGAGTGGGGTCTCCATGAGGGTCTCGGGGCCTGAGGTAAGTCAGTATACAGTTTATTTTTGCTTTTTATTCATGCTTTTTTATAGTTTAACAAATATAAGAAGCACAACACAAGTAGTTTTTATCTCTTTAGATTTACCTAATCCACTGAAACTTTAATTCACCAGCAAACAAGAGAGACCTTTTTAAAATTTGCTATAAGATCATCCAATTTCCTGTAACTTTAACAAAAAATGTATAATTGCAGTGCTGCTTACTAATAATTTAAGTATCTCTTTATATTATTATGCTATTATATATTATAATAACTTCATCTTAATTAGCCTTAAAGATCCTTTATTATGCAAAATTGTAGTCATGTTAAAATGTTGTTACCTCCTCAAATACATACCTGGAGTTGTGTTTTGCTTTGTTCACACATGTATGAGTAATCCTTCATTATTAGTATGTCTACTTCTCCAAATCTTAAAATGCTCTGTTCCACCTTGTAATGTCATGAAGTGGCAGTTTCAGAGATTAGCAATTCCAGGGACGAAAATATCCAAATGATTGTTGATCACCACATGACATCATAAGGTAGAATGAAGTGTTTTCAGTTGAAGAGAAAAACTTTGCCCAAACATGAAATTTGTGTTAAACACGTGTGAAACACAACTCCAGGTATGTTTGTGATGAAGAAACAACATTATAACATAGATCAGAAAACAGAGCAATATAGACCCTTTAAACAGCTAAATCTACCAGCTAAGATACAATTTAAACCAAAGATGTTAATTTTGTCTTATGTACCTCTTGGGTTCTTTTTTAATTAATTAATTAATTAATCAATTAATTAAATTAAGTATTGCATTTATATAGCATCTTTCAAGACTCCCAAAGTGCTTTATAGTTGATTGACTCCACACTCAGTGGTGGCACACTACTATTGTAGCCACAGCTGCCTGAGGCAGACCTGACAGCAGCAAGGCTGCCAATCTGTGTCATCAGCCCCTCCGACACTCACGCACGCTCCATTTTCTTAATAGGCAATGTAGGTGAAGTGTTTTGCTTAAGGACACAACAACAGTTTTTTGCCACTGGCACTCCACTATGGCACCTGGTGTTCCTAGCAGTCTCCCATCCAAGTACCCCCCAGGCCTGGCCTTGCTTAGCTTCTAAGATCTGACGAGATCAGGCTCTGACAAGCTGGTATGGCCACTTTTAAAGACAATACTGTCTATACTTGTCTTTAAAAAAAGAACCAAGGACGTTTAAGCTACAATTTGTGGTCAGTAATTGTGGAAATCTATTGAAGCTTTTGTAGTTATTGTGTAGATACACTCTTTGTTCCATCTTGTGGACTTTCTTTTAACCAGAAAAGTAAAAAAAATCCACCTTTATACTTCCCTGTATCAATGATGTTTTCAAGTCCCTTCTGGTTGAGATTTGCAGCATACTATTCTTAGACAGTTTTTTTTTGGTTTTTTTCCCCTCCGGAGAAATGACGCAAACACTTCCAACACTCGTGGACTTTAAAAGAGCTGGTATACGGTTTCCATGGCGATAGCTAAGTATATGCAATATCCGATGTTATGTGAGATGAGGGCTTTCTGCAGGATCTGGGTAGCCTCATGTTCTTGTGTTGCTTGTTTGTGGAGGACACTGCATTGACCGGAGACCCTATACTCACAGCCAACGTGACCTTGACTTACAGCTCGTACCAGAATGTGTCTGTCTGAATGTGCCTGCTGCTTCTACAACTATACTCAAACCAGGCAAACTGAGTGGACTAAATAAATGCTAAATGAATGAAAAATGATCTTACTGAAGGTCTGTAATCCCTCATGGTAAATGCAGAGGTCATATTTCTCACTGTGGACATAAAGTGTTACTCTAATAGTCAATGATCACAGGATTTTTACAGCAACACGTTTAGTTGATATGAAGTATGGAAATTGCTATTTAATTAAAGTGGACTTCTTATGCAAAAACAGCTTTTCACAGCTTTTAGACAGACATGTTCTTCTCATTTGAAGTTGTATTTCGAGTGATTCGTGCATGCATTTTCAAGACTCTATTTTGCCGTTCAGTCACTGTTTTCACCGCCACTACATCCACTGCTCAGTACTTACTTTGTTCTCCAATTTTATTTTCTTAATTGATGATACATGTGGGGTTCAACAGCATTTTAGTACAAAAGGGAAAGCGTGATCTGCGTCTATCCATCTGAAGTACCAACAGCTGCACAGCTCTTTGTTGTGATGATGGTTATAGTGACGTCAACTCCCCAATTTTCCAACGTGGAACTCAGTTGACTTGTTTCTTTTATGAAGTCGTTTCAGATGAATATTGTGATTTGAAAAGGAGAAATGATAACATAATGATCTATAGGTGTCTCAGATTAGAACTATATAACAAGTTCAAACACAACATGTCTTCATTAAGTAAGTCATGCCATTTATGTGTACACTGTATTCTTTTTACTGGCCTGTAAGTAGGCGTTATGGTGGTATTGTAGGATAGTTAACGCTGCTGTAATGAAGTGCTAATGAAGAAGAACAGGTTAAAGAGCTGACCGCAATCATGCAGAGGTCAAATTTATCTAGCGGATCATTTTTATGTTTAATTGTTTCTTTAGTTGAAGTATAGCAAACCATGCCATGTATGTTTTACACCATATTCTTATTACTTGTCTATAGATGAGTATTATCATAGTATCACAGGCTAGTTAGTAGAAAAAGGATAGGATGAAAAGCTAATCACATTTGCCTCGAGGAGATTGTAACTCTCTTTAAACAGCGACTTATGGCTACTACTACTACTACTACTACTACTACTACTACTACTACTACACTTAACTACTTGTGTAACTAACTCCCACAGTGACTAATAATATAATAATAATGTGCGTGTTACCTAAAGAGTAGATGGTCAGACAACAGTATTTACTTAGAATTCTCAACTTACTTACATGAATAACTATTGCTTTTCTTCATACAGAAATAAACAAACATTTGTCATTCAGATTTAGATGAATGTTTCCAGCTTTAATGTGAATATATTGTACACAGTTGAGTAAGTTCTAGGCCATCCATTTCACAAGCAACAATTTCCAAACCTGTTGAAGGCCCAGTTTAATCACAAATAATGTATTCAGTAGTACAGTGAAATTACACCAGGACTCAATTCAACTTTTTTTTTCCTCCAGATTTTAAATTTAGCTCAAACGCTTGCCTCTACCCCACATACTGCTGCTGTGTCCCACTTCTGCGCCCTGACCCACTTGTCTCACCCACAGAGCGGACACTCTCTCACACCCTTGGGTGCCCTATAGGCAGGTGGAAGGTGTCCTGTCCATGTTTGCTCTGCCATCTGCTGCTCCCAACCTCAAAACTGGCCTCTTCCAACTAGGCCAGTCCCACCAGCAGCCCTCACTGGTGTCCTCTGTATGCCACTTTAACTCTTTAAAAGACGAGGGAGCCCATTATGTGAAAGCAGTTTTTGTTTTGACAATGTTGACGTATTTTTTTGTTAAAATTCAATACATATTTAGTAGTGGTGTAATAATATCCAATATAATATGAACCTCACAGTGCGATATTTATTGTGATATCGTGGGAAAGCTCATGATACGGTGAGGAGGCTCATGATTAGAGATGTAACAATATCCAAATATCTCAGAACAATATTTTCACTATATACATCTCACAGTAGGATATTTACTGCGACATTTTGTGGAGGCGATCAAAACAGTGAATACTGATACTTTTCCTCTTAAAATGCCTTGACAAGACTTAACCCAAAGAACTAAGACTTAAAAAGTACTTAGAACTGTTATTTCTTCTTGTAGTCTGCACTGAAATGGAGCAAAGGATCATGGTCTATGTAGTTCCCTCTGTCTTTTTTTAGCTGTTGCTGCACCATAACTCTTCATTTAAGCAAAGAGACATGTGATTTGATATAGTGTAAAAGTCCACGATATTATTGTGAGAACTTTGACGATATGATATCTCGGTTATTGTTACATCCCTAATATTTAGCTTTCTTTAAAGGGCCCATATTATGCTATTTTCTGATCTATATGTTGCTTCCTCATCCAAAACATACCCAGAATTGTGTTTTGTTTCATTCACACATGTTTAACACACAAATCCTACATATTTAGGCTGAGTTTTTCTCAAACAGAAAACAGTCCACTGTGTTTTTAAACACCATACACCTTCACTGGAATCATTTGGATGATTTCAGCCCTGAAATTTCCTCTACTATTTAAAAGGTAAAATGTGACTATTAACATGAAAGCTACTGTGTCATGACATCACAGGGTGGAACAGAGCATTTTGAGCTTAGGGGATGCAGATAGGCTAATAATAATGGTTTACTCAAACATGGGTAAATGAACCAAAACACAACTCCAGGTATGTTTCTAATATTTTAAAGCTCACAAGAGATATTTTTGCATAATGTAGGACCTTTAATATAATGGAAATAGCCTAGAGCAACTGGCATTTTGCTGTCACATTTCTGCATACAAAATACTCACCATGTTTCCAGGTACATTTTTATACTGTTAGGTTAGGTTTATATATAATAATTTTACCATATTATACAGTAAAGTAGAATATGCAACCAAATATTTTGATCTCACAACATATTGCTTTTTAAACCATGCCCTTAAAAGCTCTCTTCTCTTTATGAGTGAAATTTAATCAGAGTCTGAAAGCAAAAACGGAAATGGCCTAAAAAGATTTGACTCCTGAGCCTTGAATCTGACACCAGTGACTTATGGTGATGTACATGATGAAAATTACCCCCGTGCAGTTTGCTAAGAGCTACCTGGGGCTCTGCAATGGAAGCAACAGTTCACATAACACCTTTAATCTCCCCCTGCAGATCTCCCCACCAATCTCACCATCTTCAACAGAGTGAAAAAAGCCTGATTTTATATTACGATTTTTATCATTTCGACAGTATTCAACAACACGTGAAGGAATGGGGTCCTTTAGAGTTAAAATTGGAAGCAGAACAGGAGCGTTGTAGCCATTGTTGGGGGGATTTATTACCAAGCGAGGCTCACTTTGTCATTCCAACCTTATTATGTGACGCTCGGAGTCACAGGGCTATATATAGATGTCTACAGTGTAAAGGACAGGCGGCACCTCTCTCTCTTTCTCTTTCTCTTTCTCTTTCTCTCCCTTTTTCTTTCTCAATCGCGCTCACACTCTCTCTCCCTCACTTACACACACACACACACATTTTGGAGACATTGCACTGACATACATTCATTTCCTGGAGATCTAAAATCAAAGGTACACTCTGTAACTTTTGTGGTTACATGCTTCGACAGTATATATGTAGATTGGCATTAATTAAAATGAAATTGAACTAAATCTCCATGGAGACAGGCAGGCGATGCCACTATAGGCCAAGTTACAGGTTAGATCTGTGGAAAGGCAACCCCATTTACAATAAGAATTCATGTTTTTGTAGGTATTTTTGAGCAATAAAAACACCTAAAATTGAATAAATGCAAGATAGATAGATTTCAAGAACAGCAATAACATCTCCATGGTGACAAGCAGATTCCAGATTCCACACCAGAAAAGTTACACAGTGCACCTTTAACCATAGTCACTACTTTTCTAACTTTAAGCTATTTTTACCTATACCTGAAATGCAAGATAGACAGATTTCAAGAACAGCAATAACATCTCCATGGTGACAAGCAGATGGCAGATCCCACACCAGAAAAGTTACACAGTGCGCCTTTAACCATAGTCATTACTTAAAATCACACTGTTAATCTAATAATAAAGAATTTACATAAAGGAGACCTGATTTTTGTCCCCATAACACAGACAAGTTCCTGTGACTTGAGCGTGTGTACCGATTTTTATTCCCCGCAATGACATGAACGCCGGCCCGCCCTCACACGTGCGCTCTCATTCACACATGCACACTGCTCCCTTTTCTCCCACTGTCAGAGGAGTGAATGATGTCATCGTTACAATCTGGCAACACTGCACTGAGAAGACAGCACCAGGGTGATACACAGGGCTGCACCACCGTAGACAGTCAGGGTTTATCACTCACAATTAGATACAAGTAATTATGAAGAAAAACAGGCTTCGTGAGTCCGGGATAAGCAGGGAGGAGTTCATTTGTTATCTACTGACCAGCAAATATTCACATGAAAACAGATAAGCAAGAACCTTTTTATGGTTTAAAAGAAATACTGCTATTACTCCTACTACTAGACTACAAATACTACTAGGCTAGGATCCAGAGTTAGTACATATATAGGAATATTTTTATGGTTTAAAATAAATACTACTACTACTCCCCTACTGTTACTACTAGGCTAGGATCCAGAGTTATTTTGTTAAAATCACATGCACAAGAACCCTTTTACGATTTAAAATAAATACTGCTACTTCTACTGCTACTACTACTACTACTACACTACTTTTACTACCAGGCTATGATCCAGACTTATTTTGTTATGATCACATATTCAAGAACCTGTTTATAGTTTAAAAGAAATATTGCTACCGCTGCTACTACTACTATTACTACTACTACTACTACTACTACTACTACTACTACTACTACTACTACTACTACTACTACTACTACGCTACTATTACTACTAGGCTAGAATCCAGAGTTACTCTGTTATGATCACATATGCAAGAATCCTTATAAATACTGCTACTACTATTGCTACTACTACTGCTCCTATTACTGCTAGTACTACTGCTACTGCTACTACTAGTAGACTAGGATCCAGAGGTATTTTATTATGATCACATATGCAAGAATCCTTTTATGGTTTAGAATAAATACTGCTCCTACTACTGCTACTATTACTGCTGCTACTGCTACTACTACTGTTACTATGCTTCTATTACTACTAGGCTACCACTATTAATAATCATTTTCATAATAATTGAAAAACATTAATTGAAAATTGCATCATGGAAAAACAAAGAAAGTAGTGGTTTGCAAGAAAATATGCCATGAAAACCGCAGGATAATGTTAATAGCTCTTGTTGTCTATCTGACCCATACCGCTCCAAGGTAAACAAACAATTTAGACAAACAATTTTCCTTTAAAAGCAATCAACACTTTTATGTAAGACTTAATTAGTATAACTCATATATAACACTTTTGGTAATTAAAATATTGAGTCAATAAAACCGTGTGAGTATGTGTTTGTACAGTGAGAGTTTGGCCTGGCACTGACCCGTTTAAAGGCACTGTGTGGGTTTAGAGCTGCTCCATCTGAAACAAAGAGCTCATGTGTTTTTCTTTGTGACAAAACCTGCTGTGTGTAATATACGGCTCAATACTGACATCTAGTGGTCACTGCTAGACACTGCTCCACAGAGACTACATTCATAAAAAGAGACACAATTTAATTTGCATAATTTACATAAACATAAGAAGGGATTATATTGTAACGATGACAGTTACCTTTTCCTGTCCCCGTTGTTCTTGACCTTGGGTAAAAAACTGGTGAGTGTAAAGGGGGCTTGGAGAGGCCTTTTACCACAGTATATCTGCCACATGTCTGTCAGCCTGCCTCAGGGCACATTCACAACCATGTGAAAAATTATGTATTTTAGAGGTCAGTGCAAGTTCATATAGACCTACTTTCTGGTGTTATGCCTTTAATTGTTTTAGGATTAGTAAGAGACTTTCACATAGAGAGTCCACCACCTGCTTGTATCCATGGAGATGTTACAGAATGTTCCACAGTATGTCATCAAATATACACAAAACAGATGTTCTCATTACAGTAAAATACCTTATGTGAGTGTGCTCATGCCTACACAGATCTGACATATAACTCCTTGTATCTATTTGTGGATTTCTGAGTGATAGCAAATTAGGACCATTACCATAGTATTTAACAGTGAAAAATATATTATAACATCTGAATTGAAAAAAGTTCTCAAAATTCTGCCAGACAAGAAGCTCATCTACAGAGTAGATGTGTATTTTATTGTATGCATTTACCATTGCCTTTTGTTGCAGTAATTAACAATGAAAATATAGCAGTTTAATTGACAGGAATATCTAACCTGTGTATATAAACTTGAAGTGTATTTTACTGTATCCATGTACTTGTGAATATATAACCTCTGAATATAAACTAGTAGGTGTGTATTTTATTGTGTGTATGTTCCCATAGTAATTACTAATTTAAAATATTATAGCATTTGAATTGGAAAAATGGAAAATGTCACATAACAGGAATATGTGACCTCTAAGTAGATGTGTATTTTATTGTCTGTACTTACCACTGCCCATGTCCATGTGTCCAGGTGAAACTGCCCTTCCCTGTGGACCAGATCACAAACCTGCCGCGGAATGACTTTCAGATCCTGATCAAGATGCACAAACTGACCTCAGAGCAGCTCGAGTTCATCCACGACATCCGCCGCCGCAGCAAGAACCGCATCGCCGCCCAGCGCTGTCGGAAGAGGAAACTCGACTGTATTCAGAACCTGGAGTGTGAGATACGCAAACTGGTACGACCCAGACCCCGTCACTGTAAGGGGGTGGCATGTCCCAAAAGATAAATAATATGAGTATTTTTGATTCAATGTGTGGTGTGATTTCAATATTATAGCTCTGAGGATAATTTATAATGTCAAAAAAATGAGACAACTAATTTCTCAGCTGACAGTGCAGATACAATTTGTTGTGTTTGATGTCGTACTTTACATCACCACTAGGGGGCTGACATGTGTCTTTTTAGAAAGTTGTATTAAAATGATGTAGGCTTCCATAATTGTTACTTTTACATAAGAAAAAAGTTAACTATTATCACTGCAATTAAATATTGTCAGCTGTTACTGTATTATGATTCTAAACACAAAGAACATGCTCTGACTGAAAAATCTATGAAAAAACATCAACATTTTTGCACTATAAATATGTATAGTAACAACAATGCCATACTATATTAACTGTAATAATGATGCATTTCATTTATAAGAGCGTTTTTGGACACTCAAAAGTGCTATCAGCCTCTCAGACCACCTCAGTCACACACATACATACCATATTCATACAAAGCAATATGGGTCAAGTTTTGCCCAAGGACACAACAACTTTTAAAGCACCTGCACTCCCAGCGGTCTTCCATCTAATGTACTAACCAGGCCCAAGCATGCTTAGCCTCCGAGCTCTGACCAGATCATACATTCTCAAGGTGCATACTGCATTCTAACTATAGACTATATATATAAATGGACATAGCTAACCTACAAACTGCCACGTTCCAAACAGGAAGTGAGCATGGAGGCGCTTCCTGCTCCATCAACTCCGGCTCCACAATTGACTTTACTGTACATTAAAAATCGCCACACATCTTTCTGTAACTGCTGCAGTCAGCCTCATCATATTGGTCTTAAAATGTTTGTATTGACCCACTCTACGTGATCCTGGTGTTTTTATTTGTGGTAATTTGTCTGTTAAATAATGAACTTCATTTGACTGGAGTTGAAAGCTATGGGTTGCCTGTGTTCAGTGATAGGCCTTTATACAGTCTGTAGTTCAAATGTACTGTCTGGCTCGATGTTCCTTACCTGTTGTTTCTGGTTTCTGTTGCAGGTTTGTGAAAAGGAGAAGCTGCTGAGCGAGCGCAACCAGCTGAAGGTGTGCATGTCAGAGCTGTGGCAGAACCTGTCCTTTCTCTCGCAGCAGGTGTGTAGAGATGTCCAACCTCCACCTGTATCCGCCAGCATCGACCTCACCTCCACCCCGCCCTCGCCTTCCTCTTCCTCCCCCCGGGCCTCTCCTCTGAGGCCCGGCACTCCCACGGACATGGGCGAAGAGGAGCGCGAAGGGGTGGACGTGTCCCAAGACTGCCCCCTGGTGGTGGGGTCCACCGAGGAAGTATGTAGCCCCACTGTCACCGTGGATTTCTGCCAGGAGATGACTGAGAAATGCACAACAGAGGAACAGCAGCAGAGGCAGGGCTGCACCTAAAGTTTGGGCCGGTCCTAGGTCCGAACATACCTTGATATCTGATGTATTTTGTCTTTTTGTAACGTTGTCTCAGCAATACTGTTGAACAGGTATTTTTGCATCGCGATCTAACAAATGCACTGGCAGCTTCTCTCTTTCTCTCTGTCTCACTCTCCTCTTCCTGTCAGCGTCCTTCCCAGTGCATCATGGGAGGTTAAACTCAGGAAATGCTCCGAATGTTCAGTAATTTCTCATGTACATGCTTTTTGCTTCACTGTCCAGTCCTGACTTGAATATTACATTTTGAAATACAATTTATCATTGTTGTTAGCCTAGCTTCTAAGAATAAAGCACACAACAATAAGCTGGACTCTCCTAGTACTGAATATTGATGCAAAAAAGTTCATTTCTACTGAGGAACATGTGTAGGCCGACCATTTTATAGGCCATTTACAGTCGCTGTAAGCTATGCCATGTTAGTTTGGTCAGTAAAGTCAGACTTCTACTTCCAGAGACACAGCACATGTGTAATAAGCTCTCACCAACTAACTTAAACGGGCATTATAATGCTAAAGAGAGGGGCAAATACGCTGAGCTAAGCTAACAACTGCTAACTGACTTGTGCAATTTTCCACATGCAAAGCTTCTTTCCTCTAATATAGTTGAGTCTGTCAGTGGTGTTTGAGTGGAACAGGACAGTGAAGTGAAACCCTACCAAAGGTGTGTATTTGTAAACTGCTACATTTGGTCAAATGTCTCATTATGCAAAGCTTGTTTTGTCAAATGTTCACATTTCTATTTTCTCGTAGACAAAGGATATAACGTTTTTCCTGCCTTTTTCAAATCTGTGCAAAGAGACAGAATCACATAAGGCTGAAGCACCACGCAGCGCCTCCAAGAGGCGACGTGAAGCATTGAATGAACACGAACGTGAGGTGACACTGGCACTTAACCAATCCCAGAGAATCACTCAGATGTGCAGGTTCAAAGGTCATGCTGGTGTTTTCTGTTTCGTTTTCTGAAGCAATGTGACATGTAGATATGTTTAAAATACATAAAGTGAACTGTTTTTGTTGTTATTGTGAAATAGCAAGTACAATCATTTCTAAGAATTGTAATAAACCAGGCTGACACAGGCCTCCAAAGGTAAACATTGTAGTTTAAAACTTGAAATGTGAAATAAGATGAAACCCAAACAAAAACACCAGTATGCTCCTTTAGACACTACCTTAAATGAAACGCTTATTTATTGTGCTATATGTAATATGAATAGTGTTGTACTTATGTATGCAATGTTATTTTACTGTACACAGCAGCACTAAATACCCTGAGGTCCAGCGTGAGTGTAAAACACATCTGTTTTCAACAATTGGCACAAAACGTATAAAAACATGTAAAATAAGGAGTCTGTACACTTAATAGTGAACACTATGAAGTCCACTGCTCCAAATACAACACAATGGCACATTATTGATTTAGGGAGATGCCAAATTCATCTGCTGTTGAAAAGTCGATGAGGAAGCACGTGGCAGTGCTGAGTGCAGCGGCTCTCTGCACACAGCACCCACAACAGCATCTGAATAATGGCCTGTCGACAGTATTAGGACAAATTCACTTTTAGTTGATCTATGTAGAGCTAAAAACCCAATGTGTTGGTGTTCAACATTAAAACAAAAGTTACAATCAAAAACCTGTTATGTAAAAAGTGAATTGATCCAATAAGCCAAGCTAAACTCTTATTCGAATGTACGTCTTAACAGATACTTTGAATGGTTATATCTCCGTAATGTGAACTTATTGCTAACTTATTTATTTGGTTGTATGTGGAAAGGGGAAGGGGCGGGCTGTAGAGGAAAACGCATAGATGTACATTGTAGGTCGGTATCGGACTGATAGGACTGAACTTTGGTAATAGATGTAATTTTGATTGTTTATAATTTGTCTTTATTTACATGTCACTTAAGTTGTTCTATTTTAACTCAAAGGGTGTATGTTTACAATTTTGTGCATTTCTTGTTGTTATTTTTTGTTTTGTAAAAATATAAGAAGTCCTTGCAAATTAGGTTGTAGAAAAATCTGCTAAATTATTTTTTAGTGTAAGTTAAAATTGTTGACTTTTTGAGCATCTGACAAGTGCAGCTACAAGTTGTTGCCTTAGAGGTTACAGAGGCCAAACTACTATATTCAGTAAGGGAACAAGGAACTGTCAAGCAAAAACTGTCTCAAAATACAAAACGTGGCCCCCCAAAACGGGACATTAGAAAGAGATATAATGTTAGCAATCGTGAAGTTTACAATGAACCAGATCCTTGGACCAACTCTGCTTTGTTTTTTCCACTCTCTGAATCTTAATGAAGGAAACTTTTTTGAAATGTTTTTTTTTTTTTTTGTAAAATGGAACTATTTTGTTGCTGTACACTTAGCATTACAAAGAAAATAGTCCTGACAGTTTTTTTGAAAATTGACAGTTTCTCTAAATGAAACTTTCTAATAATCTGGCAGTATAAAAAAAGTTTTAGATACATATTGTTAATAAAAGACACAAGATTAAAAGGCCCATATTACGCTATTTTCTCATCTGTTATAATGCTGTTTCCTCATCAAAAACATACCTGGAGTTGTGTTTTGTTTCATGTTTATGTTCAACACACAAACCCTGCATATATAAAGTTCTTTTCTCAAACTGAAAACACTGTTGCACCTTCTGATGTCATAATTCATTAACACAGGAAGTGCTCCATTGCGGTTTTAAACTCTATGCCCTTTTACTAGAATCATTTGGATAATTTCAGCCTTGGAATTGTCAAACTCTACTGAACTAAAGGTAAAGGGTATCTGTTAATGTGAAAATTACCACTTGATGATATCACAAGATGGAACAGAGAATTTTGAGCATTGGACAGACTAATGATAAGATTATTTAAACATGTGTGAATGAACCTAAACACAACTCCCAGTATGTTTTGAAGAGGCAGCAACATTCTAACATGATTTAAAGCTCACAGCAATCAACTCTGCGTAATATACTTTACACTTTTAAATATGTATGAGCTTATTATATCTTACAATACAAACACAAAATGTCTCCAGACGCACTGAAGTCTAAACCTAGATATGACTTTTACTGATAGCACTTGAACATAACAAAAAATTTAACTTATCTAGGTTAGTTTTGAAACAATCCTTCTTACTTTGAAATACCTACAAATAATAGTAATATATGTCAAAAAGCAGTCAGGACTATTCAACATCACAGTTTAATATGATCATTTCTTTCCAAGCTACATAACTGGATTTCACTCAGGCCAAAACATACTGAAATGATTGTTTTTATGAAGGACTTTTGGATCCCATGCCTTGACACTACATAGGAAGTACCTTAATAGTTCACGTTTACAGTGGGGAGCAGTTGGGGGGCCACTTCCATTGATCTTGCTACAGATTGTGATTTCAGGGTTCTTTTAAAAACCTTGGTTGAACGGACTCTTCTCAAACACTTATCTACCTGGATTCAGCATACCTCTTTGTATGAATAGACCTGTACCATAGACATGTAGAAACTTTATGTGGCATCATTTCTAACTTTTTACACTGGTATCATTGTATTTGTAGACTTCTGGTGAGCCATTTTTTATGTGTACTTTACTTTGGGTACCTGCAACATGACTGTTATTATCGGCATTTTTATTTTATTTTTTATCTTTGACTGTTCGATTTTAACATGATTTTTTGATTTAGATATTTGTAAATATATTGTGCGAGACGTCATGTTTTCTTTATTTGATATGAAAATGTTTTAAATAAAAAGAATCCGCATTTTGTCAGGGTAAAGACCTGTTGAAAATAAAACAAAAAAGCATGAGAACTAACTATAGCTGTCTGTGTGTGATTCTAAAAAGTAAAGAGATTTTGTTAAGAAGTATTTAATCTGGATATAATAGAAATCATCATAAAATGGCTGTATGAAGGGCAAAGTACACGCTCCAGCAGTGGATACATAAAAAAATAGTTCATGCTTTTGAAGTCCGGAAAGAAGCAACAGAATCCCCTGAGGAGCTTCTGAAATCAGCACAAACCAATATAAAGATGTCCACAGATCTGTAATATCCTTTTTGGAAAAACACAAAATTTAAGGTGCTTCAAATCCAAATGTCTGGCTCCTCATTTCTTCATTATAGAGGAAATGTCCAGGAACATGCTCTGTGAGGGGAAAAAAAGAACACACTTTAGGTGATTTATACACTTTTCCTCAACAATGAACCTTGAATGTGCAATACATTCCTGTGAGAAACCTCAAAAATAATCACATCAAATCTAATTATTAATTTCAAGAATAGCACATTATGGGTCCTCCAAACACCAATAAAGAACAAATAAAACATGGTGCCAAGGCCTTAGACAGCCCTTCCCCATCATCAACACCCTTAACAGAAGTTTTGATGGAGTGGGGCACTCACCATAGACATCCTGCGCCCTCCAGCGGGGGGCATCATGGGCATGTCCCCCTGCAGTGAGCCCAGCTCGTCAGACTCCTCAGAGGAGTGGAGGGAGGGGCTGGTGGAGCCGCTCACAGAGGACATGCTCTCAGATGGAGGCCTCATCATGAAGCTGGTCCTGCGTGGGTTGGGCAGTAGCAGCTGACTGCCCATGGAGGTCCTCCTGTCATGCTCCTCCACTCCCCTGAGCACACTGGGCCTGGAGGCAGACAGCAGCGCCCCCAGATGGACAGGGTGAGGTGCATCATCTTCATGCTCGTTGGGTTCTTCAGGGTGGCTGTCCTCCAGAGTGGACTCCACGGAGGCCCACTCTCGGTGCTGCTCCACAATGCTGCTGTGGAGGTCCTGGCTCTGGTGAGTCTGTGGTGGGGCCAGGCAGCTCAGGCTGGACCTGGGGACCATGCGCGGCTGCTGGCAGATATAATTAGCCTGGCCGTGCCCCAGGTAGGCGATGCTGTGGTGTCTTGGGATGCTCAGACTGGCTTTTAGCCCTGCGGTGTAAAGAGGGGGTTTGCTGTCTGTCTCTGGGATGACTTTAAAGGTCTGAGTCAAAGGCCCATTATGGGGGGGCACATTACTCATCACACAGAGGTGGGGCAGGGACGACTTCCTCTTGGACTTATAAATCAAACTGTCGTCCTCTGCGAACCGCTCCCCACTCAGGATGCGCTTGATTTTCCTTATGCCTAAGTGAGAAATCTCCAAAATGTTCAGGAAAAGGGAGACTCCTGCGATTACGATCATGAAGACCATGAAGATGGTCTTCTCCGTGGGTCTGGAGATGTAGCAGTCCACACTGTTGGGACAGGGCAGGCGCTCACATTTGTACAAAGGGTCCAGGTGGACCCCGTACAGGATGCACTGTCCCAGGATGAAGCAGACCTCCAGCACAGAGCGGGTCAGGATATGGATCACATATGTCCTCAGCAGAGAGCCTCGCAGAGGGGCCTTCTTCACCCTCTTCTGCTCCTCCAGTCTCTTCAGCTCTTTCTCGATCCTCTTCTGCTCTTCCAGAAGCTCCGTCTCATCCATCTCTTCCTTCAGCTGGATGCGCCTGCGGTGGCGCTCCTTCTCCAGAGCGCGAATACAGTACAGGGCATGTCCCATGTAGACCAGAGATGGCGCCGACACAAAAATGACCTGCAGCACCCAGAAGCGGATGAGGGAGATAGGGAAGGCTCTGTCGTAGCACACGGCCTTACAGCCGGGCTGGTCCGTGTTACACACAAACTCAGACTGCTCATCATCCCACACGTCCTCGGCCGCCGCGCCCAGGATCAACATGCGGAAGATGAACAGGATGGTGAGCCAGATCTTCCCTACGATGGTGGAGTGAATGTGAACCTCTTCTAGGATGCTGCCCAGCAGGTTCCAGTCACCCATGGTCAGAGCAGGGCTCAGTGCCTCATGTCCTCAAACTGTGAAGGAGAATAGATTTCAGTTTGTATGGTCCACAATCATTATTTTGTGCAAGAATGTACAGTATTTAAAGGCAGGGAAAACCTGAGAAGGTGTCTTTGTACATATAGAATAATGTGATACAGTCTCCAAACTTGGCATTGTAAATACTGAAAAAGGCTGCCAAATGTATCAGCTTAATTTTTTTCTTTGTGAATAAGCTTTTATTGTGGCTAGTACAAATTTCATTTAAAAAATTATGAACAGACATCATGGGTCAAGGGCAAACCCATTAGGTTTTGGCAGAAATCCAGAGGAGGGTGTAAAATAGCCTCTTTCTAATATTAGGTCAAACATAGGGCATTGGATTTTTGTTTTAGTAATGCCACTGTGGGGCTGGAACTGACTGAGGGTTCTGCAAGTACCACAACATCAGCTGCAAAATACTATTGGCTCATGGCCATCGCGTGACTAAACATACAATCTATATCTGTCAGTGACAAAAACACTGTTACAGTTATCATTTATTTTAAAAAAAAAAAAGTCTAAAGTTAGATAAAATCTAAAATCTAAATATATTTAAAGATGATTATTTTATCCAATATAATGATGCATAACATCTGATCAAGTCTAAAAGCTGTTGTAGTAGTTAGCTGAAGTTGAATTGCCTACACTCTGCCATAGGCCACAGAATACCTCATAATTCTTCAGCTAAAATGTCACTTACTTCTTCGCGTTATCAGGTCCCTCTTTGTCTTTGGATGGGGTTCACATGTTGTGGAAAGTCTCTCGTCCCTGTGTCTGTGTGTCCACCCCATGGAGAAGTTGGGAGGTGGTCTTGTCCCGTTCCCAGACTCCAGACCACATGATGATGCGCTGGTTTGTCTGAGGGTGCTGAGGTTGTCTGTGGGTGCTCCGTTTGTCCCTGGGTGCTGGTTCTTCTCTGGGCGCTCAGATTGTCCCTGGGTGGTGTTGGTGGTGCAGCCTGCTCGTGTGCTGGACTGCTGTCCGTGTTGCATGCTGGGTTCACAGGATGTGATCATTGATCGGCTCTCGACGGGACAATGCCCCCCCTCTGCCCCCCTTTGCCCCTCTCCAGTGCCAGCGGTGCCCAGTCCACAGACATCAATATCCCCTCTGTCCATGAGGGGTGATATTTGTTTGGGGTGGGTCTCTCACTTTGGGCCTACCTCAATTTAACTTTGTGCTGGAAATCACAGTTGTAAGTAATTGGACAGTGGCAGTGTACTCGTGAAGGTTAATCATGTCTCTCCACATTATAGCTCACGCATGAGTGAGCAGAGCACACAGGACATGGACACTATATGTACCATATGTACCATAGGTCTAAGGGCAAAGACTGTCGACTGGGACCTATGCCCAGGGCCCCAGGCTACAGAAAATGAATGAGGTATAGGGACAGCTTATTGTGGACATATCTCTTTTGTGTGTACAAGAATCATTTTATGCAAATCCTAAATATTGATTTGTATTGAGCAGAACAATCACATATACATGCCCATAGTATATTAAGTACATCTGTGGCCTGCAGTGGCGTCTATAAATGCAGGTGAATTGATGTGGTTCAGTGATTGGTTGATTTGATCGATCCTTTGTACCAATGTTAGACTGAGTGAGTGCCAATGCTGTCCCTGGGCCTCAGCAGCTATAGTGCATATTACGGCAGTGTTCAGAGCCTGGTGCTGGCTGCATAAAATGACCAGCTGTGCCTGCGGGGTCTTTAATTAGGTTTCCATGGCGCTCTGACAGAGTCAATGGAGCATTGATTTGATTTTCCCTTCAGAAGCTGCTGTTATGGTTGTTGAGGCCAGATGCCAGATGTCACACCAGGATCATTGGGTTACACAACCAATGGCTGCTACATTAAGAGCTCCACTGTGATGGAGCAGTCAGCAGAGGGGGGCGCTACACGGTTTGTTTACACTCGGCTTAATCTGCCAAATGTCAGCCATGATCCTATACAGACGAAAGCTGGTTTAACACACTGACTATAGAAATACAACAATAGTATGTCCTTAAATAACTAGTCAGCATTTTTGGTAAGAGAAAAATGCAGTTGCAGAATACATCTCGCTGTAGAGATGAACAACCAGTAAGGCATAAATGCATAGTTAATAGATGACATTCCTACATCTGATTGACATTCTTACATCTGACTCCATACACCTTCACTAGAATTATTTGGATAATTTCAGCTCTGGATTTGCCAATTTCTAACGAACAAAAGGCAAAAGGTAGCTGTGTACTAATACTATCTCTTCATGACATCACAAGGTAGAACAGAGTATTTTGAGCTTTGGAGATGTAGGCAGACATGTGTGAAACAAAACACAACTCCAGGTATGTTTTTGAGGAGGTAACAACATTTTAACTTGGCTAAAAGCTCACAGTTATCAAATCTGCTTAACATTGAACCTTTAAGGGAACGTAACTACATTTTGTGGGTAGAAACTGACAGCATAGAGGTTCCTGCTTATCCCACGGAAAACATTTATTTCTTTTGACATATTGATAACATTTGTATAACATATCCTACATCGTAATTGATTTCAGTCTCGAAGTTCAGTGCTGTGATTCGATGCTGTATTCTCTGTGCTTTGATTGATCCTGAGGCTCTTAAGCTCCGCCTCCAGAGAGCCGATTCGCTGCAGTAGTTCCTGTTTGTCCCTCTGAGCCTGCACCTCCGTCTGCTTCTCCACCTCCACAATCTTCCTCTCGTACCAGAGCTCCAGTTGAGAGGACACAGTCTCGAAAAAACGCTGAGTCACCTGAAAATCATACAACATTTAATATATCATGACATTTCTATAACAACTGAAGTTATAACTGACAGCAAATTGGTATAATAAAGATCAACTGAGCTAAAAACTATAGCAGAAAACCTAAGACCTTATTATAATATGAATTCATGTTATTATATATTAACTAAATACTATTTTCAATTCCAAAAGAGCATTTACAAACTATTTACATTTTTCAATAAGTAATTAATTGTGTAACAAAATTTCTGATAAAATATTATAATCCTTATCAATTTGGATATGTTTTCTCTAAAAAAAAACAACTTGAAAATAATTAGAATTTCTACAGGCAATAATGTTTTTTGTTTTTTTTTTGTTTTTTTTTAAATCCTATAAATAAAATGCAATTATCATAAATCCAGCACTTACTTTGACAGTTATGGCCAGTTAAGTTAAGTTATCAGATATCTTATTTCTCAAACTTTCAGAATAATCATTTCTAAATAAATTATGCAATTAGGAAAAGTAATAAGAATGCACCCAACAGTTACCTCGATAGCGTGCAGGTTGCTCCTCTCCTGGGTGAAGGTGGTCTCAGTGGGGGGGCGGTCCATGTAAATCTCTACGGTGGTGTCCTGGTTGTGTCCCACCCTCACCAGCTCCTGTCCCCTGGGCTCCTGTGTGCGTCCCTTTGGTGGAAACCATCTGGGAGTGCAGTCACTGGATACACTGCTGCTGCTGCTCCTCCCAAAGCCCTCCCCCTTCACAGGCAACGCAGCTGAGGAGTCACTCTCTTGTATTCCCATTGGCTGCCTGGAGGGGGCAGCAGATTTCAGTCGCCGGTTAGAACCAGAGAGAGGAAACAGCGCTGTGTTCTCATAGTCATCTAAAACACAAAGGCAAGGACATTGTGAGGTTGTGAAAAGTTTGTTTGGAATATAACACATGCATATTCATACCAAAGATTTGAACACAAGATGACACTCCAAAAGCTGTTCTTTTGAAGGGCGTATATTAGCTAATAAATACATGAAAATCTCAATATTTTTGTTTACTACATTTGTTACTGCATCAAAACTATCATCTGCCAGCATTTGCCTGCAAAATTTGCCTGCAAATGTTTTGGTTGAGGTTAAAGTCCTGCACAAAACTAAACCACAACAGAGAAGAAATATCATTTTGTTGGGGGATTACACTACTTCTCTCTCTTTTTTAGTGATTTTTTTTTAATAGACAGCGCTATACTCAGTATTTAAATTTTGCATATCTCAAAAACATCTCACTCTTTCTACATTTTTCACTGATCTCCCACCTCTAACAGCTAGTTATATTATTTATCAAGATAATCAATATAGATGATTGGGCTTTGCATGCAAAATTACAAAATAAATCATGTCCCTAGTGGTGTATGTTTTAGATGTATGCTCAACTGTATTGACATAATACACTCTATGAGATAAATTGCACAATGCAAATATACATGTACAAATGTAAAAATACTTGTATGTACAGTGTGCAGTACAGCATTCCTTATTATAGTAAATCTACTAGACTAAGATTTCTATTATCTTTTATCTGGTCGTACCTGGAGACCTGTCCACCTTCATTTCAAAGTACTTCCTGCTGCTCGTCTCCGGCTCAGAGCCCAGGCTGCAGGATGACCAGGAGGGGGTGATGTTGACATATGTGGCCAGCGAGGTGCTACTGTCTTCAGAGACAGAGAGGAGAGGGAGGGACTCCAGAGAAGACTCCCTGGAGGACTGTCCCACTGAGGGGGAGTGCAGGAGTCGACAGTAGGGAGAACTAGTGGGTGTGGTGGGAACATCCCTGCTACTGAGCTGAGACACGCACCACCTCTTCAGCTCTCCTCTCACAGCCGCCTGTTTAGAGACAAAACACAAAACTAAATAATACATTGATGAATTTTAGATGACATCACAATATTCCATAGGTTAATAACATTTCATATTTAAAACAGAAGTAATGTCAATAGCATCCAGTGGTGGTGTGAGAATACAACAGTGCCGGGTCAATCAATCTAATTGCAGACAGTAGCTTTAAAGGAATTGTAAAACTTAAAACTTAGAGCACAGGCTACATTCAGTTCCTTTAACTACTATGAACTATATTTTATAACTGTGATACCTGTGTCATCCGGGCCTCCTCTCGTCCCTGTGCTGCCTGCTCTTCCATCTTGAGCATCAGATGTCTTCTTTCTGCTGCTACTCTGGCCTGGTTTATCATATCCGCCACTTTAATCTAAAAAAAAACAAAAAACAAAACAAAAAACAAAAAACAAAAAACAAAACACAAATACTCAATATTTCACTGTTGTGGTGAAGTGATGATAAAGTGTTTATCATCACTTCACCACAGCTTCAGTAAGTGCCCTTGGTCCAGGCTCAGTAATGCTATTTCTCTACCAGACATAACCCCTGCCATAACTGCTCTTCACCCATAAATATAGATGGACAAGTTACATGTAATGATTATTCTTCTTAATATATATCTATAATAATATTGACTGAAAATGATTGTCCCACCTGCTGTCTGTTGCGTTGATCCATTTGTCCGATCCTGCTGTTCACTTCTTCTTGGACGTTTAGGATCTGGAGTCTCATCTCCTCTTGAGTGGACTTCAGCTCACTCTCCAGTTTCTTAAACAGCGGCTTACAGTGACAACCGCTGGCAGGAGACTAAATAAATAAACATCACATGAATTAAAAAGAGTTTGAATGTATTTGAAGACCACATTTATACCATACAAATGTACAACCTAATACCATGTCAAACGTACCATTTAGATTTTTGTTTTGTTAATACATTTTAATTGTACATATATGGTATTTTGTATAACTACTGTGTTATGATGATGGTATCTTCTGCAACTATTCTCTAGTAAGGCTTTTGTTCTATTAGTTAAAAAAAAGTTTATAGTTTCTGCAACAAAACAGTACAACTTGGAGATAAGCATTCAATGTGTTGCTAATGTAATTTTGTCTAGACTTTTCATTGCATTACCACAACAAACAACATGGTCATTTGTGTTACATCCCCGGAAATATTTCTTTTCTTTTCCTTTTTTATATAAAAAAAAAAAAAACATCTCCACACCTGTCTCACGTTGCCGTCCTTGTCTCTGTATAAGGTGTAAAGCTGGTATGACTTTCCAAACTGGGGACAGAGATCATCACTGTCTTCAAACAAATGTTGTTTTCTGTCACGATTCTTCACATTTTTTTCACCCCTGATCTCATCCTGAAAGCAGAGAAAAAAAAAAAACACTTAGAGGCTTCATAAACAGACAGTAAAATGTGATTACTGTAATTGCGATGAATGATGTACAATTAATAGTTATTTAAAGGTGCACAATGTAACCTTTCTAGTGTGTCTCCGTGGAGATGTTACTGCTTGTTCAACAGTATGGCATTGGACTTATTTATTTAGCATTTATTGGGAGATAGTTATGTTTAGTTTCATACTACGGAACATTTCAGACAAAGCAATAACATCTCTGTGTATTAAAATCTAAGCAGCAATAACAATTTGATAATTGATTAACAAAAACCCATTGTTGTAATTACTGTCATAAAACCTCTTTTCCCCAGCATATGGCATGTCTAGCTCAAATAATTGTCCCATTACCAAATTAGTTGACATTTACTCCAATAATCACGTAATCTGATTAGCTGTTTCAGTATAAATTGAGGTAGGGGATATTTATTAACCTTTGACATCATCGGCCAAAGTTGTTTCCTCTGTCTTACCTTCTCTTCCTGTTTCCGGGTCTTGTGCTTGCCGTGGGAGATTGGACTCGTGACTCGGTCTTGGTAAAGCAGATGCGTTCTCATTTTAAAGCCTTTTGATTGTTCTAGTTGTTGTTCAAAACTGGGGACTTCCTCTGTGGCGGAGCTGCAACCCTGCTCCAACATGGCAACCTGGAAATACAAAAAAATATTACCTGAGAATAATATGAAATAACAATACATTATACTTACTTGGCTTGGTTCGGTTTCTATCCGACAGGCAGACTGGCTTCCTTTGTCTTTCTCTTTGTTTTTTTACAGTCCTCCCTCTTAGAAAACGATGCACCTGACAAGTTACATACATTCTCCATTAAATGTAAGTATAGAATATATAGTAATAAAATATTGGGTAGCCTTAATACATGGATGTTTTGGTTGTGAAGATTAGAAACTGACCTGAGGAGCTCGGGCCAGAAGTACAGCTAGTTCTTTGTGGTTGTTGTCTCTGGCTTTGTCAAGAGCTGTTCTACCTGCCTGTAAAATAATATATGAATATTTTATTAATTGTATCTTTATTAAGGACAAACGATACATGGCTATGATAAGAAAATAAGAAGAGAAAAAAGAAACTGTAAGAATAATTGAAATGCATTGACAGTAGGTATTAGATCTTACGTAAAAAAATTAAATTAAATACAATCTTTAATCTCTTATTAGAAGTCAGTGACATATATTGGAAAATAAAAATAAATAACTGTTATTTTAAGGTAATAATAAAAAAAAAAAAAGTCCACTTGTATCACTGACCCCACACACAGTTTCAGATTTCAGGCTTAGATCTAGAGATATTTGGACAGTGACACAGTATTAATATTTGTTTTTATCCGTTTATTTAGAAGAAAAAACATATGTCCTGTGTAGTTGAGTTTTTGTTTTATATAAGTTGGTCTCAAAACTGTTTTTCTCCTCCTTACTAACTACTAAATACTGACACCTCCTTCCCTTTATAGGTGACCAGACAAGTGTGATTACAGAGGAGAGATAAGCGCAAATCATGACTTCATTGCATTTGGATTTGAAAAAAGTTATTTAAACAACAAATCCACATTTAAATAATAAGGAAATACCAATTAAGCAAAAATAAATTGATAGCAATACAAATTCCACTTTCCTAAAACCAATAGTCTTATAACTGAAATTAAACTGAGATGCAACACTGATTCTACAACTGTAACATGAATGATTATTGGCTAAAAGATAAAGAAACAGATCTGTCAGTGTCCAAATATTTTTAGAGCCATCTATGCATAATGCGATCATTCATAAAGCCCTAAAAAGGGTCAGATTAGGGTCAGATTATGTTAACTAGCCCTGACTGCATTTGTGGATTATGGTTTCCAAAGTAAATGCTGTAAATATACATAAAAAACAGTGCCTTGTCAAAATAAAATTGAAGTTATTATGGAGATATACCATAAAAAGAGCTTTGTATTGCGTTGGTGAAGAGTTACTTACATTATTTCTGAGATTTGCGTCGATTCCAGCCTCTAACAGGAGCTGGACTGTTTTTTTATGGTTCAGAGCAGCAGCAATGTGAAGCGCAGTGTCTCCTCTCTGCGGGAAACAAGCAAGAAGACAAAGAGAGCGATGCTTAGATGAGATAAATATATTGTATGTGATGTAAATAAGTTCCCATGAATAGATTGGTTTAATTTATTTTTTTTTAACTCAATAATCCAAATACTATCTTGTTTGCGATTGTTTTTGTGGAACCTAACAGCAAGAAGGTTGAACAGCTCTAATGATTGAAACCATGAAATAAAAACAGTCAGGTTCATCATACATCATCACAGTGGAGTTGTTGACTGCTTTTGTGGCTACCTCGCTCACACAGCAGTTTTATCCTCTTTCATCACTGACCATAGCAATAGAGCGGAACAGGAACAAGACCTTTCCTGTCGTGTTCACCTGGATACAACTGGACACTGTTGTGATGCTGCAGGACACAGAGGAGGGACACTTTTGGCTCTTCCTCTCCTCAGAACTGCCCTGACCAGTCCTCCCGTTAAACTGCACTGAGACCTTTGACTGAGACACAAGGGCGACTCAGAAGCTCAATGTAAATGTAGCAAAACTTGAACTTCCCTCGAGATCAACAAAGTATCTCTCACTCACTCTTTATTCTAAATGATTCCCTTGTTGTGTGGTAATAGTTTGTGCTTCAGCAAAAATTACAAATGATGAACAGTTTAGACATTTATTGTGCAGAAAATAAAAACAAAAACGTAAGAAACATATGGGAATAAAACTTTGTGATAGTAAATTTCAAGATGATTTTCCCATCTATCTGTCAAACCTAAATCTTAAAATAGCAGTTTGAACCCTACCTCATTTTTCTCTGTCAAAGAGCACTGAGAACTGATCAGGAGTTTGACCACGTCTCTGTTGTCATAGCGAGCAGCCACGTGCAAACATGTCTCACTCACCTAGAAAAAAAACAAAAAACAAATACGAATTAACATGGTTTAGTTAAAATGCTTTCAAATAATCTTATGAGACTTACATTGTTCTTTGTGTCGATATTTGAGCCTCCGACCAGCAGAAGGCGCAAGGATGAAACATGTGAATTTTGAGAAGCCAAGTGAAGAGCAATGTTTCCTGCCTGTCAGACGAGATTGGGCTGTATTAAACTCCAGTAAACATACACAATGATCAGTTAATCAAATAGTAAAGCATAAAATATATCTATACATTAATTTTGATGTTTACAAAGGATAAAAAAGTCAGGAGACTAAAAACACTCTACTAAAAAAGAGTTTAAAGGTTTATTAGGCGGTCTATCTAAAGCTCAAAATGCCCTGTTCCACCTTGTGATGTTATGAGTTTTCCTTTAGTTCAATAGAGATTGGCAACTCCAGGGCTGAAATTATCCAAATGATTCTAGTGCAGGTGTATGGAGTTTAAAAACACACTGGAGTCACATGACATCACAATGTGGAACAGGGTGTTTTCTGTTTGAGAGAAGAACTCAGATTAAATATGCCGCATTTGTGTATTAAGCATGTGTGAATGAAACAAAACACAACTCCAGATATGTTTTTGATGAGGAAACAACATTATAACCTAGATCAGAAAATAGCGTAATGTGGGCACATAAATAATGGCACCTTTACCTATTTAAGGTTAGCCATGACTATGTTTTGCCTACTAAAGTCAGTAAACACAAAGGGCAAACTAGATAAATTTGGCTGATCACTTATAGATGCAGAGAAAGCACAAGAAGTTTCAAAGGTACTACGACTTCCATCCAGAATTCATTTTCAGTTTTACAGTAGTTGATTTGTTGTACACTCTGATTGTAATGCTGCTAAATATATCCTACATCTAAAGGTGGAGTTTTAAAGTGAACCAGCCCATGATAGGAAAGTGTATTTGAAATATTGAAAAATAGCTTCTACCTTATTTCTAACATTGACATCAGCTGCTGCTTTCACTAACAGTTTGACACACGTTGAGAAGCCATGCCAGGACGCTTCATGTAGAGCTGTGTTACCGTCCTGTTCAAAATGCAAGATTAAAACACAATGAAAAAGCAACAACATTTGGAATTGATTTTTTTCTTTATTGCATACTCTGTCCTGTAGGTCCAGAGCACAGCCCCCCTGGATGAGGGCAGAGAGGGTCTCGCTGTTCCCCACCATCGCAGCTTGGTGCAGGGCCATGCGCTTCCTCGAGCCCCAGTGAGAGACACGAGCCAACGCCTGCTCACCCATCACTGCTCAGGGCTGTGGGAGCTGAAAAGTCAAATTTTACATAACTAAAAAAGACTAAACAGTAAAATAGAGATTTCTAAAGCAGTGTTTTTTCTTAGGACCCATATTTTAGAAGTCAAATCTTTGTGACATTATTGACATTATTCGTAAATCACATAATAAATTTGTGACTTGGATCACTCTGAACAATTGGTATTACTCAAGTTTTAATCAGTTGGTTAGGCGAGGAGCGGGTGGTGTGCATAGAAATATGTATATGTATATAGCACATGCAGATGTGACAAGGAAACCCAAAACAATCTCTTATGAACCACCTGAGGGTCACAACCCAGTCTTTGGGAAACAAAGATCTAAAGTATTAACAATCCAATCAGATACTAAAACTAGTATCAAAATTAGACAGTAATTTAAGCAAGTATCAGTACTAAAAGTCACACTCACAGGACAGAAAAGAACCTTTCCTGAAAAGCTTTAGAATGATCTTGAGCTGTATCTGTACTAGTTTACACCCATGGATCATTATGGAGTCTATCTGTATGACTGAGGGATCACACAGATGTGAAACCACATGGTAATACACAAGAATGTACAATTATTTCATGTTTAAAATCACATTCTATTGCCTAAAGAAAGAGAATTTTTATTATGAACATGGCACCAGAATCATTATTGAGTATCAAGTCTTTTCCTTAATATTGAAATCAAGTTTGGTCCATCTAAGATTTTAAGGCTTTTCAATCAATAAATTATCAAACATGCTGGTGATTAAAATACAATTATCTGAAAAGGGTCTTCCTTGGAGGTGAGTACTTTTGCATTTACATTTTATCCTCCATTACGTGATAAAATGAAACACTAGCCCACGGTGCCCTGATGATCCTGACCTACATGAAAAGGATTCCCCGTAACTGCTGTGGATTATTGTCAATCCCAGGGGTCAATCTCTAATCTGAGGCGCTGATTCATAACACCCTTAACATGAACACTACCTACCCTTTATCTTAATCCCACCTACATGCAGCCAATCCATCCTTTATATCTTACTGAAAGATTGCTCTGAAGAAAATAATTCATATATATTTTTTAAATATTGTTTACCAGTGCAAAATATAGTATCCATTTTTCACTTTTTACTTTATTATTCTGAATAAATAAGATTCGGTTTTGAGCCCTGTTTAGTCCTGATGTAGCCTACACTTACTTTATTCCTAATCTAGGCCTGGTTTATTTCTGTATTTTCCTGATTCAGCAGTGTTTACTTGTAATTTACTCCCAAATCTGCATTTTATAATTTAAATACACATTAACATATGAGATTGTCTAGTTTAGTACAAGAATTGTATTGAATAAATATAATTATATTGGGAATAACATGACAAATTGTATTATCTGTCATGAATAAATTCTTAGTGTGACTTTTTTAGGCCTTTTTTTCTGCAGAGTTGTTAAAAGTGTATTATTTTCAATACTGCACAAGCCTAATACAGTATTAGCCCAAAATATTGTGCCTCTTTGGTCCTAAAACGCGACTAGAATAGACCTAGACTAAACCACGACTAAACCAGGACCAAACCAAATCTACAAGGACTTTGGGTTCAAACCAGGACATGTGTTTCTAACTGGTCAAACACAACTGGCTGTACAGTGAGAAGTCAAATGAGGAGATATGAATGAATAAATCAAAAAAATACATAACTAAATAGGCTAAATAAATTCATCATTTAACATATAAAATCATAAAATTTCTTTCTAGGTACAAAGTCTAAATTCCTAACCACACGTGTCTGAAATTTGATTAACTGCAACTAAAAAAAATGAGTATATAAACCCCCTTTTTACCTTATTTTGTGAAGTTTCAGCCATGCAGTCCAAAACCGCAAAATCCTCAAATTCAGCAGAGCAGTAGAGTGTTCTTGGCGGGACATCGACGCTGCGGCCGCTCACAGTGGCTCAGATGGACAGCTGTTGCCTCGTATTAGCGCCGGGGCGGTTCTGCGCTGGTTTGTGCCCAGGTTTAATCCACGTCCTGCTCCTTCCTCACGGGACAGTCCAGCTTTTACTGACGAGTCCTGGAGCTATAAGAAATGACTTTTACTCTCGGGGGTCAGCACAGTAGGTTATTTCATATTTTAGAATGTAATCCAGTGTAATGAAAATGGAAAGCTTTAAGGGTTTACATTTGGATACTGTCTGTAACTAGAGAATTATATAAACATGGGTAAATTTGTGAAAAAGAAAACAAAATTGCATCTTCTTCCTGTGGTGTTCAGATGGATTTGTGGCATCTGCTTTTCTGGCTACCTGGCTAGGGTGACCACACATCCCTATTTACCCGGGACAGTCCCAATTTTGAGCCCTGTGTCCGTTGTCCCATCAGATTTATCCAAAACCAGTGATCTGTCCCAGTTTTATACAAGAAATGTCCCAGGTGTCCCTACTTTTGACCAATTTGATCTAAACCAGAACTATGTCAACTCTAAAACTAGACAATCAGATTTTTGGACTAATCGGACTTTAATCTAATCCCTGCCAACAGTAAAGAGGAGCATAAATTGTCATTTATTTTGCCAAAATACAGAAATCCGTATTTGCAAATGACCATAAAACAAAAGAATGCAGCAACAGAAGTCCCTCAGATTATGACTGATGACTTTTCACCATTTTATTTTACAACCCAGGTGTGTCCCAGTTTAGAATTTTGGAAATCTGGTCACCCTATACCTGGCTCACACACTCAACAGTTTTTAGTTTTACTTTTTGTTTTTTTTAAGCTCAGTTTTTAAACACTTGGAATGGGAATAAATCATTTCATCACCAATCGAAACAACAAAGCGAGGCCTTTCCTGTTGTGTTCACCTTGCTCCCTCTGGACACTGCTGTGATGGTGCAGGATTCAAAGGAGGGACACTTTTGGCTCTTCCTCTCTTCAAACTGCCAAGACACAGACCTGCTGACCCCCACTGACCACTGCTCCTGTGAAACTGTACTGAGACCTTTGATTGAGACACAAAGACGCTCAGTGGAAATGTTGCTGCGGCGAAACTTTCCCTCGGGATCAATAAAATAGCTCTTCTCTCTCTCCGAATATGATTTGCAAATATAAATAGGCATACTTTTAACGAAAGACTCTGTCACTTGAGCCAGGCATGTACATGTACTGAGAATGGGGAAAAAAAACAAAAAAAAAAACATCTAGCAATCCAGTTCAGATGTGATTGTACCATTTTTTTTAAACAGTAAGAGCTCAGGCTAAATGGCAAATGGTCACATCTTTATATATTTTCCACCTTCATGATACTCAAAGCTGTAACTCTAAACATTAATGCTATGATTTGCTTTGCTTTTCACTTTGTATACTGCACATGTACAATTAGCACACACAGTGACTGATGTGATTCTGATAAACTGCCTGCACCAACTTGTTCTTTTTAACATTCCCTTGGCCTGCAAAACCGGTTTAATAGGCAAAACAGTACTGAACATCTGACCTTTACAGTATTATGCTATTCACAAACTATGTACATAGATATACAAGAAATATTTACAGGTTCTGCTGCTATGTTATTCCATGGCACAGTCAGTGTTGGGGAGTAACGGATTACATGTACCGCCGTTACGTAGCCTTATCAGAGTACAAATTATGAGTAACTGTATTCCGTTACAGTTACTGTTTTAATGAGTGGTAATTGGATTACAGTTACTTTGCTGAAATAAGTGGATTACAAGGCGGTATTTTCCTGTTTTCACATTTTGTGCTACCTCCCATTTATTAATTTTTTTATTTCGGTAATTCCACTCATTGCTGGAAACCCAAACAGAACACGACAGTAAGAGCGATGTAAACGTCATGTTAAAGTTGGCGGTGTCAGTCACACAATGGAAGCAGTAGTGCATATAAAATCGCCTACAACTTAAATGTGAAACCGGAGCTACTGTCACTGGTGAAAACAACCTGCATAGACTCATAATATCTGCACAACTGTCCTATAGTGACCTGCCACATGAGTGGACGTGCACATAAACACACACAAACACACACTTTCATCACTTGTCATCAACCTGAGAACCCGCGGGTCACGTCTCCTTCCGTAGTTACAGCGCGGACACCGCCGTCTCGTGCGCCGCGTGTGGACTGTGTTTTCTCGTGTAAATCGCGCTTCCTCCAGTGCGCCTCTAAACCAGAACTAACACCAGGACTAAAACCAGGACTAACCCAGAACTAACCCAGGACTAAACCAGGATTAAACTAGGACTAAACCACGACTAAACCAGAACTTAAGACCTGGTCTAAACCAGGTCTAAAATCAGGACTAAACCAGGAGTAAAACCAGGACTAAACCAGGTCTAAACAACATGACACCTAACAGTAGGTTGACATAATTTAAGGTGATCTCATATAAAAAATAATTTCTCTATCAGTAATATTTTTTAACCCTCTGATGCATGAATTATGAAAGCCTTGGTCAGGATTTTTTTCTTAAGTGTTTTTATTGTTCTCAGGACATGAAAAAAATGTTCAACTTTTTTTTTTTTTTCAAAAATAAGATTTTTTCATAAAGTTACAGAGACGTCCAATCCAGTGGACTACATGCGCCTGAGCCCTCAACATTAAACATTGTGAACTTACTGTAAAAATGAAATTAACTTGTGTTCTATTGTAAAATATACAAACTCTGTTTTCTTTTTATGCTTTGAAAAACATTTCAAAATTTTTTGGGGAAATTCCAGCAATTTATAGGCAAAATTTTTAGGTCTGAATAAGAAACCAATGACACTCATAATTGTGAATATTGCACCTGTGTCAAACCAACCCCAACAGGAGAAACATTACTGTGAGTCTCCACAGTTCTATAAGGATGCAGGACAGTATTACAAGCCTTTATATTAGCATGTTGGAAGAAAACACAAACTGATATTTTAGTCTCTGCATCTCAGAACACTTCTCTGTTCATCACTCTTAGGCTGTGAAAGTTCGCAAAGCATCAGGACACAGTGGCACACAGCAATGCATGCAGATGTATTTTGCGTCTTCCATGTGCATGCAGCATCATGGCATCTGTTTGCATTTTTCACCTTGATGAGTTGGGGCCAGTGATATCCTGTACCAAACCTGACCTCACGGACTACATTAGTGACTGCTCTCCGCTTCACGGTTGTGGGTTCCACTGGGTCTTCCTCTTTTGCTTTGCTGGAGGGTGCCACTATTTAGCAGTGCACGAGCCACAGAAGCTTTGAAGAGGAGGAGTTTCATCTTTTCCAAACCAGACATCAGGTAAGGCGCCAGGCATTTACAATGGACACATCCAATAAATGAAAAAATACTTGGATGTACCACCTCTTGTTACGCCGTCTGTGGGGGTACATTGCTAAACAGATCAACCCCACCATGTGTTGATTGTAAAGGCCACAGAAAAGGTTTTTTGACATTTTTTTTTTTCTTCTTGACCCATCTGTTGGCAACATCTTCAGGGACTGGCCAGCTCTGCATGTACCTGTGCCATAGATGCTTTGGTCTTTCAAGGCCTCAATGAGTGGAAGAAAGTTATCAAAAACACCTTGTGATTTCTGTGTTTATGTCATCACAAAGTGCATCACCACATCTCCAGCCTTTTCCAATCCACTGATGTGACCACTACTTACAAGAGCCTTGGTTACACTTCGAATCTATTCATATAGCCTGAGGTTCCTGCTGTTACTCACAATTTCACTCCCCAGGGTTTGGCTTTTTTTGGTATGTATTATTTGATGGACAGTAGGCCTTTGAAAGGAATGATCTGCTGCTTCAGGGTCTGCGCTGCCTTGAATGTCTCCTGAAGTGCCCCAAACAGTGAAGCAATTATATGGCTTGTGTTTAAAAAAAAACTCTGTGATGCATGATGTCCACTTCCACTGGACACATGTTAATTGTAATTTCTACATATTGGACATAAAAATTTCATATTCCAAACAGATAAATCCTTCCCTAGATGTTTACTGTATAATCAACATATTTTTTTTTACCTGTGGGCTCTTTTAGTATAGAAGGACTGACATGATATGCCAGCAGTGGTCAGTAGGGGTAGCTGTTTTCGGCCATCTTGGATTCAGAGGAAATTTACTTGCAGTTACATATAAACACTGAAACCTCAATGGACAATGGCAGCAGAGGGCACTCTAGAGGCTCTCCACCACAGAAACCAATCATTAAGAGAGAGTTACTTTTAAGTATACTGTTTATTTAATATGGTGAAGGAAAGGCTGATCTTGTTACTGTCTTTTAACAGACAAAACTTGCTTATTCATGGAGACTTGGGCTCAGACAATTTGAAGACAACAAACAAGAATTTTCAGGATGTGGTTGCTACATTCATGTCGTTTAAAAAAAACATGACAATATCAAGTAATCCAAAGTAATCAGATTACGTTACTCATTTAATTAAATTTAATGGATTACGTTACAAACTACATTTTGGGGTATGTAATCTGTAATCTGTAGGGGAATACATTTTAAAAGTAACCTTCCCAACACTGGACACAGTAAATGCTCTAAAGCACATAATACATATTCACAGTAGCAGAAACAAACGGAAATAAAAATACATTTGAAGCAGAATTAAGAATGACTCTTTGCATTTCATGTAATGCAGTTAATTAGTCGATGCAAAGTAAGAGTCAGGCTTTTTATACGCAGGATAAAATTCGGGATCATGGTTATTTTGAAGCTCCATCATTTCAAGCCACTGGTTATAGTCGTCTTGATAACGGTCCGGAAGGTTTGAGCCGTAAATGAAAGCCAGTAGGACGTTTCTTATGTCTGGATAGAAAGTGGAGCTCTCGATGAAACTGTTCAACTGCTCTCTCAGCTCTGGTCTTGGGGGAGGAGGAGGTGGTCTTCTCATTTTGACTAAAACATAAATTACATTAGATGCTAATTTTGAGATATTGTAAATGATTCAGTTTTATTTTATGTTTTAAAATGTACTTACTCATTTTCAGTAAAATTGTTATTATGCAAGATATGACAAGAACGAATACAATCGTAGCACTAAATCCAAAAATGACAATAAGACTCTTATCCCAAAAAGTTTTATATATGTGCCGTCCATCAAGAGTATTTCCATCTGTAAAATAAGAAAAGATACACATTACTTGATTACATTATTTAAGTATAATAATAATAATAATAATAAAGTATTAATTATTTATTAATTTAATAACACCATTTAATTTAATTCTTAATTATGTATTATATACTTTATTAAAGGTCCACTATGTAACTTTTCTGGTGAACTATTTCCCAGCTGCTTGTGGTGACTTTTTATAATAATAAATGTAACATTGACAAGTTTAGATGTTAATGTCAGTGTCTCAGTTGAGACGGCCACAGCTTAATCTTATCTCCTGTATCCTTTGTCCACACGTACGCCAACTAAGTAATATTTGTTTATGAATTCTACACAAAAATAAACTTACTCCAATACACTGAAACATTGTTGCCCTCTGACTTTACAGCACAGCCGTAGGTGAGATGGGTGAGACGGAGAGAGATCCTGGCTGTCAATCTGAGGACCCACTCATCACCATCAGAGGGTAGCGGTCCAAAAACCGAGTAGCCACTGACATGGGGCGCTCCATCTCCAGTCAAATGCACTGACTTCACTGAGGGATCTGTTGTGGTCACATGACATATGAGGTACGCCTCATTGTTGTCTTCAACTGGTTTGGCGAAAATATGCAGCTCTAAGTAAAACCAAAACCAAAACAAACACAGAGACAATTAAACACAAACACCAAGTCTATGGTTCATGAATGATTCAAGTATATTTTTGATAAAAAGGATATTGTTACAACTTGAATAGATGCAGAAATATTTATATCACAACTAAAAAGAATTAAAAGGGAACATTGTCTACTTCTACAGCGTGAACAGAGAGAAAGGTGATTGGAGCAGAGACAAACTTATAGACAAGTTAGTTTCAATATAATATTTCACCTGTATTTTTAGGCGTTGACTTCAGTGCTGTTTGTTCGATCATCTTTGGGCATTCATTTTTGAGGAAAGTACTGAAGGCATGATTTCTGGTCTGTTGGTTGTCCCAGAGCTCTTTGATTTTAAAGGCAGAAGGTGACTGAGGGGTCCATTTTAAAGTGTCAGGGTCAAAGGTTATAAAGTCATTCCCATTCACAGCCCAAGCCTCAAAAGCAGATACGCTCCCATTGGAGGAGCGACTGCATCCTCGTCTTCGCTGCACCACATCTGTGGTAGAATATTGCACAAACATTTATAGTCAAAACAGTGAACTTCTCTATAATCTAAAATAAGGTAAAAAATAATAATTAAAAATTAACGTTTAATGTTATTTCAAACTTTATAAAACTACATATACAAATATACAAAATGTATACAAAAATATGCAATATACAAAAACATTTCTTACAGTATAGGCAGATTGATAAGTTATCTTTAAACAAGGTAATAATAATAGAAAATAGAATAATAGTAGGCTAATTCAATACTAAAAATGTAATAGTAACTCATAAAAACAATTATAGCATTCAGAATAGATGCCGTTAAACCCTGTGTAAACCCTGTGTAGTACAGTGTGTGCAAATAAACAATGGTCAAAAAAATAAACAAATGGAACATAAACTCACCCACTGCAAGTGCATGACTTTCAATGTTGTAAACAGCCTCTAGAATATTATAATGGGCTATTTCACAATTGTCAGGTATTAGTGAAGTTTGAAGTTTTGGTTTTAACTGTTCTTTTTTAGTGGCCCCATTGCAAAACGAAACTGCAACGCCATCATAAACAGTGAGCTGCTCAAAATGATATCCATGCTGGGATTTCACCAGGCCCGTAGAGAAGACCACCAGTCTGTGGGAATCTAAAAGAAAATCAAAATAGTCTAATGTTTATGTTATGCTCATTTGTTATTGTTAATGCAATTTCAGTATAGACACAAATACATAGACTATATTGTGACATGAGCGAGTAATGATTTTAACGTGTTCCTAATTTTTCTAATCTGTGTGCAATGTTTAGAATCGGTGCTATGAGTCAGGTAATGATTTAGCATTTATGAAACTGCACAAACTTAACACAAAAACATGTAATTTTTGTCAGATTAGTTGAAACAAGTGCAATACAAGTATATACATTACATTACAAGTGCAAACACTAAAATATAGATGGCTAAATAAAAAAAAAAAACACATTCCCAGGTGACAAAAATAAACAGAAAATAAAAACATTACTTACTTGATTCAACTATCAGATTTGACAGGGTGATCAGTGTGTAAAAAAAAACTGCTCTCGCCATCTTCTTCCCATTTTAGCAAGTGCAAAATAAGTGAAACTGGATCAAAGGTCATATCCAGATGCAAGATGTTATGATGTACAAAAAACAACTAAATAGAATAAAAAAGATGCAGAATGGATAACCTTTAACTACAGTGAAAATTGAAGCAAAACTGTATCGCACATTAACTTATATATATGTCAGCTTTATCTGTTGATCTGTTGATCCTAGAGACAGTGGTTGTTTTTTCATCCAGCAGCCAATCATTGAAGTATATAACACAAGCCCTGCCTTTTATTAAAATTATATTTGCATGCATAAAATTTAGAACCAATGAAAAGAAGTATCCAATATGATACGAGAGGATCTATTTAGTGCGGTCAGACGAGTTTGGGCAGTTAGTAACTTTGGAAATTGCATCCTGCGCATTTTAAAAGCAGAAGCACACAATAATATATGTGTGTAGTATTTCATACGTATGAAATTCGGGGTAAATTCCCTGACAATACAATACATTAATACATTCCAGAACATCAAAGTTAGAAGTTTAAGGTCTGGTTTCTTATGTTATTTGTAGGGTCATTCCAGCACCTACAACTTTGCAGTCTTTGTAATATTGTAGTAGCAATATCTCTAATTTAGATTTTGATTTGACTGAAAATAGACTGAAAACATTTTAGTTTAACACCAGTAAGAGTAGTGCAATGTTAATGCCAATGTTATCACCCTTAGAATGAATATTGTACATAGTTTGCAGAACTGGCCTTAAAATACAACTCACTAAATGATTTCACATAGAATTTAAAAACCGTCTTGTCAAACAAACTATTTTTGAGAGATAATGTACAAGAACAGAATTTGATACTCAGGGCATATAACCTGAAGATTTTGAAGCAATTATTTACTTGGCCAAAGAAACCATGTTAAGGATCCAAAAGTTTTTTATGGTAGCAGAAGGATGAAGCCTGACATATGCAGAGGTGCCTAATTTAGGGCAAGTTGAGTTTTGTTAAAGCAATGTGTCCTTCTTGATATTATACTCGTCGTACTTCTTTGATACATGTTACCTAATAAAGACAAATACGTAAAACATAAATAGATGTGGATATTGTTAACATTTGTGTCATACAAAAGACATACATACTTTAAGATATAAAGTAGAGAAAGAATAATAACTATATAATATTATGCATATAATTAACAGGCTCAATATTTATTGTGTGTACCTTTTATTTGCACTGTATTAACATAGTTACAGTTGAAGCAAATATAATGTAGGGCTCTTTGAAATGTGTATTGAATAATTAATACAATTCTGGTTATTTTAGCAAAGGGTAGAATTCAGAATCATAGTTGTTTTGAGTCCACATCATTGCACGCCATTGGTCATAGATCTGTCTTTGGCCGTCTTGAGTCGTAAATGAAAGACAGTAGGATGTTCCTTATGTCTGGATACAAAGTGGAGCTCTTGATAAAACCCTCTTCATAAAGCTTCTGTGTGAGCTCTGATCTTGGGGGAGGTCGAGACTGCTTTTTCATTTTAACTAAACATAAAAATTACATTAGACATATATTGGAATATTGTGAATTATTCTGTTCTGTTTTATGTTTTAAAATGCACTTACAATACTTCAATAAAATTATCATTGTACAGGATATGACAATGATCACTCCAATGATGGCAACACATCCAAAAACAGCAGGTAGAATCTTGTCCCTTAAACTGTAATAGATGCGCTGTCCATTAAGAGTTTTTCCGTCTGTAGAAAATAAAAAACAAATGTTACTTTTAATGATATGAAAAGTCGAATCTGTCAAGTAATACATTTAGTCAACTTTTGTTCAATCTATGGAAATTAAGTTGCTATGAGTTGATATTTGAAAAGAAACTTACTCCAAAATGTTGTGATATTTCCCTTCTCTGTTTGTACTGTGCAGCCGTACTGATAAATGCTCTGATCTGCTCTGATGCCAGCTGTGAGGAGAAGAACCACAGATCCATCTCCACCGGGTAAAGGAGCAGTCACTGACACCCATTTCACTCTGGGTGCACCGTCTCCAATCAGATGCACAGAGCTCACTGATTGGTCTGAGGACGTCACATGACACTTCAGCTGCACTTCATCGTTTACTGACGTGAGCTTGGCAAAAATCTGCACCTCTAAGGCAAAAAATAATAATAATAAAGTAAATTCCTCTTTCCTGGCATTGCAATCCATTGGTTTTCCTCATCACCACATAATATTTGTATAAAATATATTGCCTTGTTACTGACCTGTGTTTTCAGAGAGTGTGGTTAATACTGTTTTTCTCATGATCTCTGGACACCGATGATTAATAAAATGGGAAAAGGCAAATTTTTTAGGTTTGTTTTGGTTCCAGAGGTGTTGGACTCTTTGCGCTGTAGGGGATCTGGCTGTCCATTCTGAAATTCCAGGGTCAAAGGTCAGAAAGTCCATCCCATTGAGAGCCCAGAGCTCAAACCCAGAGACAGTGCCATCAGCAGATAGGCTGCAGCCTCGACGCCGCTGCACAACATCTGTGGAACACAGGATACAAGGGAAATATATTAGTCTAATGTATTGATTAAAATACAATTACATTTTAAGTTTGTTTGTCTTTGATCATAGATGTCACAATATAAGAATACTTTTTAAATCACATACCAAAAGAAACCACTAAAGTACTTGTTTTAAACTTGTAATACAGAAAGTTTGTTAAACAGTGACTGTATACACATTGTAGCCGACAAGTATTAACACAATAGACAAAACAAATGAGAGTGAATCCATGGAGAATGCATACTTGCTTGCAACACTTTGATATTGTGATCATTGATGATAATATAATATCACTTCACTTACCCACTGTGCTGTTTCTGAGCTTTTGAACATCATCGATAAACTCCAGAACATCAGCATAATGTTGGCCACAGTCTTCAGGTAACTCTGTGGATTTCAATCTGGACTTGAACTGTTCCCTCCAGGTCTCACCATCACAGAATGAGATGGCAACTTCATTAAACACAGTCAGCTGCTGAAAGTAAGGTCCAGAATCAGCTCTTGTACGAGCAGTTGACAAAAACTCAAGAGATAGTGAACCTAATGGAAAAAAATAAATAAACATAAAAACACATGGTTGTCAAGAGATGGAAAACTGACCACTGTAATAAAAAAAATACAGTGTAGCTGCTAAGAAGAGAAATAGAGAAATTTTTTTTACATATACTAATAACGCATCATACATTCTACACAATATCTAAATACATTACGTAGTCCAAGAATTAAAATGCATGAAAACATTGAAAGACTTACCATGAACTGATGTTACTAATGATAGGAAACTTAGTACAGAAATTTGGAGAAAACTGTATTGCAGCATCATTCTGTGTGTGTCCACTGCAAAGTAAAAGCTATTTTCATCTGTTCAGAAAGCAGTTATGGGGGCTGGCACATTAGCGTAGCTGCTTGGAAACAGCGAACAGACCAGTCGAGCAACTTACGGGAAGTTCACAATGAAAATATGTAGTTCTACCACTTGCACTGCAGTTCTCACTTCTCACATGCAACCAAACACAGTCCATTACAGACCACAAGTGGAACTCAAGAGAAGACAATATACATGTTACAGTGCAAAACATTCAGAGAACTGTACCCTTAGAATAAAGCAATTTAATAGCAGAGGGCATTAAAGAATATGAGAACCAGTTAGTCTTTCGTACCGGAGCATAAAACCGATACCCTGAAGGCATCATGATGAAGTCAGGAGTCCAAGGATGGAGGGGCTGAGCCTGGAGACACTTTGCTTTGCTCAGCACTTGCTCCTCTCGCAGTCTGTAGCTCCCTCCGTTTGACCCCTGTGATTTTTGAGCAGGTTTAATGTTCACATTACACCAATTACAACACAAATTATATTATTAGTATTAAGTGTGTACATGCTAGAAAATTTAAATAAATAAATAATAGTAATAATAATACTACATTTTAATCATTAGGTGCCTCTCTGGACACTCAGCATCACCTTACAACAACTTAAATACTACTAAAGCGAGACAGTATTTTAATTGCTTGAATGTATCTAATTTAATTGACTTACATTAGCCATTAGCTATTAGCTATCCTCCCTGGAGACCTATGTAGCATGTTTTGAGTTGATTGGGGAAACCAGAGTGTCCCCATCAGTGCGACCCGGGGATCAAACCTGTAATCTTTCTGCTGTGAGGCATGAGTGCTAGCCACTCAGCCACTGTGCCACCACAGACATTGCAGTTATGGTTTGGTGGTGTGGTGGAGTGAATAGGCCAGTCTGAACAGGTGTGTTTGAGCTTGGATTTAAAAGTCAGTGTTGCAGAGGTCAGGAGGGAGAGTATTCCAGAGCTGAGGAGCATAGAGACTGAAGGCTCTGCTCCCCATGGTGACGAGACCAACTAAATAAATAAATAAACATAAAGCTGACAAATTTGTCAGAAGGAGAGTCTGCTATCTGCTTGATTCCATGGAGATATTGCAATGTTATTGCTTTGCCTAGACTGTTCCACAGTATAGCATTAAACTTTTCTTTCTACGTGAAAGCAAGCAAGCAGGTGATACAATGCCATCAAGTTAGATCTGTGGAGGAGACCCTGCTCAAAATAACAATGCATAGTTTTTGAGTGTTGCAATAAAACACACAACTGCAAATTAATACAGACACACATGTTTAATGCCATACTTTGGAACATTCCAGACAAAGGAATAAAATGCATTGATAAGCAGGTGGTAGTCCATAACCAGAAATACAACATAGTGAACCATTTCAAAACTTAACTATATAGGAGCAGTTCATTAATTCATTTTTAAATGGTCATGAGATACACATAACAAACTTTCCTGTAAATGCTCCCTCTGAATCTGTGCCAGCTCAACAAATATTTGAGCGACAGCCAATTGTCATATTTAGTTTTCTTTAATAACATTGCAAGATTCTCTTCTAGACCTACCTTTGATTTTGCAACATGTGAATAAAAGCCACAAATATCTGTGTAATCCCTCAGTTGTGTTTCTTTATGAACATGTCCCTCTTATTACTCACAACAGATTTTGCAGTTAAAATCTTTCCTAGAGCTGTGTTTTGTTTCATTTACATGTCTGAGTAATACTTTATTAGTCTGTCTAGATCCCCAAAGCTCAAAATGCTCTGTTCCACCTTGTGATGTCATGAAGTGATAGTTTTAAGGTTAACAGCTCCCTTTTTTACCTTTAGTTCAGTAGAGATCAGCAGTTCCAGGATGATTCTAGTGAAGGTGTATGAAGTTTAAAAACACAGTGGAGCACTTCCTGTATTACCACATGACATCACCAGGTGGAATAGAGTGTTTTCAATGTGAGAGAAGAACCCAAACTAAATATGCAGGGTTTGTGTGTTAAATGTGTGAATGAAACAAAACAAAACAAAACTGCAGGTATGTTTATGATGAGGAAACTTTATAACAGATCAGAAGATAGCGTAATTTCAGGTTGCATTTAAGGTGTGCATGTCAACGTTTTCTCATTTTAACGCATGTTTTTATTGTAAATTGTTGAAAGACTTTGACAACGTGACCCGAGGAGCTTCTGTGTCCCCCCCATGGTCCCAGGAACAGTCGGAGTGCCGGAGCGGGGTGAGGGTTCAGCAGCATGGCTCGCTCCACTCAAATGACAGCGCGGGGGAAAGTTTAGGCACCGCTAAACATTCCCGGAACCGACAGCCAAGCGACCGCAAACACAACAACATGTCCGGCAGCGAGAGGAGCACCGTGCCCGGGGAGGAGGACAGCGACACCGGCTTGGATTACTACGACGATGAGGACGAAATCGAGGCGTTCGCGGAGGCTCAGCTGGGCGGCGAGGACGGAGGTAGGGAGGCGGGATTTGGAGCTGTGTCCCCGGGCAAGGTCACGGAGAATTCCTGGTAGTTGACTCAAGGCATTTAAGAGATCGCACAGTTTTAACTCACCTCAAACACGGCACCAAACGCAGCAGAGTTTAGCTTTGAGTTTAGCATGTTGCAGGTAAAGCTAATGACTTCTTTTGGCTAACCTAGCTTGGAGAAACTGTCACTGTCAAATAAAACCAGTTTTAGATATTGTATACCAGATATGTAAATATGTATACATTGTAAATCCTTAAAATATGATTGATTACACTGACTAATCCTCAAGAAACTATATTTTTTTCCTTTAAAAGCGGCTAAGAAGGAGACACTTTGCTAACTTTTAATATGTGCAAAAATGTGCGTGCTGCTCTGAGCGTCAAAAGTGGGCGTGTCTCATAATATTTACGTTCATCTCACCACCAAAAAGTTCAAATTAATCGATATAAAATTATTGCAAACTATAGTTGTGAAAATAAAAGACCAGGAATGGAAAATAAAATTAAATAATTTGTCAAAACAACAACGAGCAGAGGAATGCATTATTATAATAACACCAATTTTACAGTGGTCTCTGAATGCATCTATAGATTTTCCTTCCTTGGGGTAAGCTGCTTTTGCCTGTAACGATCAATAGGTAGATCAGGTTCTCAGCAGAAATTTGAGAAACACTAGCATTCTGTCCACTCCTTCAGATGGAAAATGCCTCTCTAGCCCACCACTGTCCAGTCACATTTGCATAAATATCTAACTACCACAGCAACAAGAGTATGTGAACAATTTAACACAATACTGCAAAATATATTAGTGTTTAGCTACTACAGAAAAGCCTAAAAATGGAAACTCATAGACATTTTGGTTTTGCAAGGTATCACACAATTGTTTTTGAATAGTTGCACTTGCAGTTTTTTATTATTTTCAGTTCACTGGAAATTATTTATTCACCGTGTTTTATTAAGTGTTGCTTTTAAATAATTTAATTTAAATGTGCACTGTGTAACTTTTCTGGTGGAGGGTCCAACACCTGCTTTTCTCAATGGAAATATTGCCTGGATTGTTCCACAGTATGGCATTACATTTATTTATCTCTATGGAGAGACAGCAGGTGACACCACAGGTCAGGTTACAAGTCTGAACTGTGGAGAGCCGAGACTGTTCATAATAAGAATGCATGTTTTTAAGTTAATAAAACTCATGTTATTGAGTAAATGCAAGATGGATATGTTTAATACCATACAGGGACATTATACCGGTGCACCTTTAAATTGCAATAACAGTGCAGTTCTTTCCATCAGTCTTTCTTATACATTCTTTATCTCTTTGTAGAGTTGGGCTTCAGTGATTCCTTAAATGGAGAAGTCAAACCCAGGATTTTGCTCATGGGGCTGAGGAGGAGTGGGAAGTCCTCCATCCAAAAAGTCGTGTTCCACAAAATGTCACCAAATGAGACTCTTTTTCTGGAGAGCACCAATAAGATCTGCAGAGAGGATGTGTCCAGCAGCTCCTTCGTCAGCTTCCAGATCTGGGATTTCCCCGGCCAGATCGACTTCTTTGACCCCTCCTTTGACTATGAGATGATTTTCAGAGGGACAGGGGCTCTCATCTTTGTCATTGACTCACAGGTTTGTACTTTTATTTTATATTTTTGTGGACAAGCAAAGTACCTTAACAACAATGTTTTAACAATATGCAGGCAGTAGAGACAAGTCACCCCTGCAAAATAAAATAAAAGCTTGGTGGGGCTTTTGTGGTTAGATAAAAATCTGTAAAACATATAGGCTTGACTAATTTAATTTTTTTGTCTAAGTACAGTTATTGAAAATGTCATTAAATTGAGTGCCACTAAGAAAAAAATAATGAAACCGATTATGTCCCTTTTGACTACAACTATTGCTAAGTAAGTCTACAACATATTTCTTGTTATTTGAAGAAAAGAGGTAGAGCACTTCACTGGGTCATAAAAAAGTTGAAAATAGCAGTACAGGTGCTCTACAAGGGTTAAACTTGTAATCTTAACAGAATGTAGCCCTTACTGAAAAATGTAAAGGTGGCAAAGTGTGATATTTCTTGTTATTTTGCCAAAAAGTCTATTGTTGGAAAATCACAACAATGTTTTTCCATGTATATGAGCAAATTCATCTTGCGAAATTACAAATATATTGTATAAGCACGTCTCAGGGGTTAAACTAATTCAGATGTGTGCTGTCTGCAGTTTTTGAGCAATAATAAAACAGTGAACAAAAGCAACAACATCTCTTTGGAGACAAGGCACTTGGTGGACCCCCTCCCATCAGAAAAAAGTTATATAGTGCACCTTTGAAAGACAGTGCATACAGTATATTCCCTATTTCTCACACTTTTTCACACATGTATTTTATTTTTTCCAGGATGATTATGTAGAGGCTCTGAGCAGACTGCACCTGACTGTGACCAGAGCCTACAAAGTGAACCCAGACATCAGCTTCGAGGTTTTCATTCACAAAGTGGACGGACTCTCAGACGACCACAAGATCGAGAAGCAAAGAGACATCCACAAACGAGCCAATGATGACCTCGCAGACGCAGGCCTAGAAAAAATACATCTGAGGTAAAGGAATCATTAATTAACTCATAACCAAGTCTTTAAGATATTAAATAAAGACAATGTACACTTTTTTAGATTAAATGTTGTTTCTAGGGGTTATAAAGCATGAGATATCAATGCAAAGGGATCAGAATGTATTTAAAGATGCACTATGTAACTTTTGACATAGAAGGTTTGCCACCTGCTTGTCTCCATGGAGATGTTCTACTGTAGTATATAGAGACATGGAGTACAAGTTATATAAGTTTAATTTCATATTGTGGAAGATTCTAGCCAAAGCAATAAGATTTCCATGGAGACTAGCAGGGGGCAGACCCCCAAACCAGAAAAGTAACATGGTGCAGATTTAAAACTGTGATATTTGTTATGTTTTATTCTTCCAGTTTCTATTTGACCAGTATATACGACCACTCCATATTTGAGGCCTTCAGTAAAGTGGTACAGAAACTCATCCCTCAGCTGCCTACACTGGAAAACCTGCTCAACATCTTCATTTCTGTGAGTTATGGTTGTAAACAATTTCAAAATATTATAATATCTCTAATTTCATATGATCAGGATTAAGACATTTTGGAATATTTAGTTTTATAAGAGTATAATCATGATAAGTACTTCACATTTATGAGGCTTATATTGGAATGGTATGAAAGGGTTACTACTATATTATTATCATACTTACCTGCAGGTGCACTGTCTAGCCACTAGGGTGTAGTGTTGTACAACAGATTCAAACTTGAAACGTCTGGTCTGCTTCAACACAGATCAATTTTACGTGCATTAGTGAAGTTCTACGTCTTACAGTGAGACAAACATGGCCTATAAATCTTCATTACTGTGGGATTAGATGGGACATTACATATTGATCTAATTTGCATGCAACTTTCCAAAACTTGTGCAGTATTGAACCAACAAAATCAAAGTCTCTCATTGATCAAAGAGACTAAATTAAATCCACATTTTCATGTGTGTCCTTGCTTATCTTGTTTTTGTTGAGAAACTTGCCCCATGAAAATTGTGTCAACACCTTTGCGCACTTTTTAAACATACAGACATTATTGAGGTATAATAACTTCATTGGGCTTTTGGTGCAACACAAAACTACCAAACTTAATATATTTAATTTAGTTTTGTCATATTAGGTTTTTTTTTTATCTATATTGTTTAGCACTTTGGAGCAGTTCTTGACCATGGTATTTGGTTTGGCAATAACACTGTTCTTATTTTTTTTTAAATGTAACTGTTACCCTTAAACAACCAAACTTCTTTATTCTTAATAACTTGTTTCTAGTGAATAATATAAAAATTTCAAATTCAAACTCAAATTATATAATTTCAACAGAAAGTAATAGTAGTAGTTCTCTATTACTATGTAGTCTCTTACACAAGTCAAGCCAGGTCAAGTTCATTTTATTTGAATAGCACCTGTCATACACATACCCTCAGTTATGTGCTTTACACATAATTTCTTGCATACATATGTACTAGTAGTACTTTGCCCATTTTATCTGACTTTATTTGTATTGATATTTTTTTTTCCTTTTTTCTTTCCTTTGAACAGGGACAGATACAACAAACATAAATTAACAAGAAATCATTAATCAGAGTATCACAGTATTTATAGTCTCAGCTAATTTACAACACCAGTACTAAGAAGGGCTTTTAAAACTTTAGATTTCACTAAAAAGCAATTGCTCAAATGAGTATTGATTAGAATCGATTAGTGAATATACATTTTCCTGACAGCCCTGTATTCATTACCCATCTCTACCAAAGTGCATTACTAATTAAAAACACTTATCATTTACATTGCACTGACAGATTGCAACTTCAGTCACTAATTGAAAAACAGACCTGAAGACAGCAGATGACAGGGCAGCCTCTCCTTCTGGGACATCCACTGCTGATAAACAGTCATAAACACTTTTTGATTAAAACAAAGACTCCCTGAGGTGGAGCATATTGTCATTAATCCATGCTGTGTGCGTGTCTGTCCTGTCCCACCTGCTTCGGGGGCAGCTTCAGGGAGTGTTCAGTTTGATGGTCAAGGGCACTGTCTGCTCCATGGGCTCACAGGCGAACTCAATATATCATGTCACTTATCTACCAGGGACAGAGATATGAAGATTATTTTAGATCTGTTAATGGCCTTCTCCCTGATTTTACCTGATCTTAGAGAACACATATGGTGCTTGAGCCTGTTATAATTTAAATTGCAATATTAATCTAAAATGACTTAATAAAGGAAACAAATCGCTGACTTCCACGTTATAAAATTGCTGTGCCTAATGGGAGCTGATGTCACTGTGAACGTCATCTCAACAAAGAGTCGGCACCTTTGATGGATATCTGCAGATCAAGCGTGAAGAGAATATTTTTAATTTGTAACAAAATGACTAAGCGACGCTGACAAATCTGACGTGAATCACCAATTAAGAAAATAAAATTGGGGAACGAAGTAACAACAGAACAGTGGGTATTTGCCGGTGGCAGTGAAAACGAAGATTGATCTGCAATACGGCATCTTGAAAGTCATTAAAGATTGCTCAAACATGCACAAATCACTTCAAATACAACTCTGAGTGGGTAAATGAGAAGAGGAAACAACTATAACATGGTTAAAAGCTC